TTGGGCATCGGTAGTGGGTGTCTGCTAGGCTAATTAACCAATATCTTATTATTTCAAGACTTGATATGAAGAGCTAGTTGATTATCCTTTTAATCTAAGACCTCTGTTCCTTGGTCCCTATCCAGCTCAGTCAGCCCAAGGAGGGACACCTGAGTGCTGGTGACAGTTACCAGAGGGCAGGAAGGTCAGCGCAGGCTGTTTGAACTACCCCCATCCAGGCAGGTCGAGAGGGTGGCTTGGGAAGTTGAGGAGTTGATCTCTCTGCAGCCTCAGCAAGGCCCTTTTCCTGCCTGGGTCTCAGTTTCCTCATCTTGAAAAGTGGAAGGATGGTCTCCAGTGGTGGTTTGCAGAGCGGAGTCCAGAGTTAGTTCCCATGGTGTGACGGAGGGTCCTCCCTCTGTTTCAAGGGAGTCACTCTGCCTTGTCTCTCTCCTGCCCAGCTGGCGTCTTCATAGAGGATGTATCTGGGAAGGGGAGTGAGGAGTTTCCCTGCTGGGAAAACCATTTGGAAACTGCTGGAGCAGAGGGCTTCCGGCTTCCACATTCCGTGATGTGCATTCGCCTGCTCTYTTGTTTTATTTTGAAGCTCGGCTGACCGCAGCCATGCCTGCTTCCTCTCTCACAGCTGCCGTGGAGATGCCCTGGGCCACTGGTCACTTCCTCGCCCTGCCCCTGACCCCACTTCCTTCCCCTGAGCATGTCCCGGGCAGGCCTGCTGTCCATGGTGTCTGGCCTTGGCGCTGAGCATCTGCCCCCCACCAGCTCCACTTCCTCTGCTTTCCCAACCTTCTGCTCCTGTCTGGCGGGGGCCAGGTGGCTCATGTGGGTTGAGAATGCAGACAGGAGGTGGAGAGTATGTCGGGCCACACCACAAGCCACCGGCCTCTCCTGACCCTGGCGCTCTGCTCTGCACTCTGACGGGTTTATGAATGATGCTATCTGGCCTGGCAGTCTCCTCCGGCTCCGATGAGGCAGCACCTATTAGAAGGGCTTTGGAATAAAATGTGATTTGGAGATAAACGGCAGGGCGAGGACAGGTCAGCCGTGGGGCGGTGCATGCTGTTCCCCTGGGGGTCAGGGGGTCTCTGAAGGCGGCTCCTTGTCTGCACATCTGTTTGTAGTTCCCTAGCTTTCCAGAAGCAAAGCAAAGCAAAGCAAAGTATCTCTTCCCTCTCTTTTTATTGTGATATGGATTACGATTAATAGCCAGCTCAGGGTAGAGCTCAGTTACAGTTGACAGCTGTTTTATGCCTGTTGGGTCATTGGCTATGGCTGCAGCAATAGATGACCACAAATGTAGTGGCTTTGAGTTCCTGAATTTTTTGTTTTGCAAGTTGGACTCACTAGACTGAAACCAGAGTGCTGCAGGGCTGTCCTCATTTTTGGAGGTGCCTGCAGCTCTGGAGGCCACCCACGGTCCTGGGCTTATGGCTTCTTCCCCCTGTTTCCAATTCAGCAACAGAGAGTTGGGTCCTTCTCATGATGTGTCTGTCCCTCTTCCACTCTGAAGGACCCTGGTGATGACGTTGGGCCCCCTGAGTAATCCGGGATCCGCTCCTCGTGGTGAGGTTGGTGAGCAGCCTTTGTGCCCTCTGCTGGGCCAAGCCACTGTGCCCTGTGAGGTGACTCATTTGCAGATTCCAGGGATGAGCATGTGGATGCCTTAGAGGGGACATTATTCTGGTGGTTATCTGTGTAACCTTCACTCTCATCCAGATGATTTGTTCTGGAAGTTTCCATTGCTGCCTTTGTAGTCCYTTCCCATGCATGCCCCTTGAGGCAACCACAGTTTTGATTTCTTTCTATCTCCCCACCTTGCCTGCTCCAGGCCGTATTTATGCTGAAGGGCTGTCCCACCCCTGCCTGGTGGGATGGAGGGAAAGATTTGGAGAGGTAAAACCTCCTTGTGACTATAAGCTCTTGGTTTGGGGAAGGGGAGATGAGTTGAAATAGGTTCAATAGGAACAAAAGTGGGCATTTGGCCAGGCAGACCAAAGCTGGGATTCCACGTACCCAYCCGCTCTGGTCTTAGGTCCCACCTAGCATGCGAGTCCTGAGCAGAGCACTCCCTCTCCCTGTCCTAAGTCCTGCAAACAGACTACTACAGAACAGGTTTGAACAGGTCCAGGAACCATGTGGAGGGCCCTGTTCTCCTGCTCACTCCTGCTGACCTCCCCTTGAAGTGCTGATTGCATTTCTCCAGTGGCATAAATGATAGGCCTCTCAGTTCCGCCTGACCGTGGCCAGGGATTCGAGCCAAACCTGAGACTCCCCTGAATCGACTCTCTGCCCATCCCCACCCTTTTTCTAATTTTGCTTTTCTAATCTTCTTCGTGTTTTCTAGAGCCTGTTATCCATTGGATTGTTTTGTTGAGCACCTTCTGTTGGTAAAGCTGTTTCCAGTCCTTAAGGGATTACTGAGGACTGGTATAAATAATACAGAATAAACATACTGTCCATTGCAGAAACATATATAGAAGCACAAAATCCTCCRTCCCCTGCCCTTCTCCCATTTCAGAGGCGCTTCCCTTACCCTGAAGGTGTCAGCTGACGTGGGCTGGCTGGGCTGGCTGGATGCTAAGCAGCGTGGTTTGCAGCCGGGTCGAGYGGTTGTAGATGACAGGTGGCTGGCTTCATTTGTCGTATTTAGTTTCTTACTGAAAGTGCTTTTGTTTTCTTGAATGACCAGCTCGTCCCCACCTGCTTGTCAAGCAGCCTCCATGCTGGAGAGGTGACTGGTGTGTCCTAAGGGGGCAGCCCTCTGGTGGCCCACCGCATTAGTGAGCAGCCTCCTGTGACCCTGGGTGTGGGAAGATGGGTCTTGGTGCAGAAGTTGGGTCCCTGAGATTAGGCAGCTGGAGGTTGCTTTCTCTGCCCTCATGTACATCATCTTGTGTCTGTGGGTGTGTTGGCTCTAAAAGAGATGAAGGGTTGAAACTTGGTTCCGGGTATTTGAGCAATTTCCCAGAATTAATTTATTTGGTGGCACTTATTTGTGTCATGTCCACTCCGTACACAGATCTGAGCAGGGGGATCCACTTAGGAGGAGCCACCACGTTCTGGGTTATTAGAGTCACTATTTCATGAGACATTTAAGGAGTGCTGCATGTGCCAGGCCCCTTCAGGGTGCTCTGGAGGCAGCTGTCAATCACAGGTGAAGCACCTGCCTTCCCAGAGCTTCTGCTCTGTGTGAGACAGATGTGAGCAGGTGAACGATAAATATAGCAGCCGTGCGACTCAACAGTGTTCTGCAGTGAAGAGAATAGAACACAGCAGTTGGCCTGGGAGCATTAGAGATGGCTTCACTGAGAAAGTGACATTCATGGTGGCTTCACTGAGAAAGTGACGTTTGTGGTGAGACCAGAAGATGAGGACCCAGGGAGAGCAAGACACTAGGGCAGTGGCATCACGTGTCTGCCACAGGACCGTTCACTAGCACATTCTTGGGTCACTTTCATGGGGACAGAAGGCTGTGCTATAACGTGGTCAGTGGTCCTTAGGGTGACTGGCAGTACTGTGTCCGTTTCTCACCAGGCTTCTGGCTTTATGGTTTTCTTTTTGCACTCACTGTTTTCTCTCTTGTGTCTGACACCGTGCCCCAATCATGATGCCTACCCCATGATGGTGGGTGGAAGGAACAGTAGGAAACTTAGCAGGAAATAAGGCAGTAAAGGACAGTGGAGGACACTCGCTCAAGACTTCTGCTTGGTTCAAGGCTAAGCAGCTGCAGACATGGAGCCTGGGGGAGCACTCGGGAGTGATTGGCAGGCAGGAGGACCAGAGAACACAGGTAGGAAGTTGGTCCTGTATAAGAAGCATCAGAGTCAAGACCGGGGAGGGGAGAAGCAGGGACCTGATGGAGAAGTGCTCATGGGACAGATGTCAGTCAATGTGGCCTGAGGGTCAGAGGGCCAGATTGGCTGCGGTTGTGTGGTGGCAGACGAAGGTGTGGTAGTCAGGTGGTGACTGAATCAGCCCTTGGCAGGTGGATACAGGCTACAGTGGGGGAGCCTGGGGAGATCGAGGGGCTGGTAAGGCTTGAGTTTTTTCCAGGATTGGAAGCTAAAGACCACCATGCAGGGGAACGCCATCTTTCCAAACGGGAAGATGCAAAACTGGCAGGAAGATYGACCTAGAGAAGCAAATACATTGTTTGGAGCTTTGTTTTATTCCACTGGAAATGACCGTATTGTATTTTTATGTAAATAACTCACAACAGTGTGGAACTTGCAAGGGGGTGAAAAGAGAATACTCATAAATGAAGTTGAAATACCATATTGTGTTTTCATATCAACAGTGTATACTATTGCTTGCAGTGGGTCCAAAAGCAAATGCGTCTCCATGAGACGGGCTACCTGTGCATTTGGAGCTTCTTCCTCTAACCACTCTTCCCTGTCCTTCGACACTTACTGGAAAATCCACMGTTTCCATGAAGGTTTTGAGATGGCTGCAGCCCAGCGTCGGCCCCTCCGGCTCTAAGCATCTAGGCTCACAGGCCTTCCCCGGGTGCTTTTGACTCAGTCTGACTTAAGAATGTGTCATCCTTACCTGTTACAGAGGCCTGTGGGGCAGGTGGCCCATCTGAGTCATCCATGCATTGTTCACSGGGCTCTGTGCTGGGGAGGAGCCCAGGGGACTCCTCGAGCAAATGATGGCCCTGCATTTGTCTCCAAAACATTTTCCGTCTCTATTGTTAACAGCCTTGTTTTGTATGCTTGCAGTAGAGGAGCKGCTCTCAGCAGGCTGCAGTCTGCCCACCACCCCCAGGCAGGCTTCCAAAGCCCATGTGCCTCCTCCACCACCACAGGTTTAGAACTCTGTGTTGATGATCTCTGATGCTCGACCCAGGGAGCGAGAGTCGGGCCACCATGTTTCACCTTGGGCCCACCCTGGGTCCTCTGCAAGGCTTGGGGCTGGCTCTGGTCTCCAGTCAGTGTGGTGGCCAGTGGGGCTTACRGGGGGCCTGTTAGTGTTCAAACTCTGTGTGTTTGCCCCTCCAGCACTCCTTTTTCTGCCGGTTGACAGAAGATAAGAAGTCGGAGAGATTCTTCAAGGTCTTTTATGACCGAATGAAGATGGCCCAGCAGGAAATCAAGGCAACTGTGACTGTGAACACCAGTGACTTGGGAAACAAAAAGAAAGATGACGAGGCGGACAGGGAGGCCCCGTCCCGGAAAAAAGGTAATGCTCCCCATCTTCCATCCGCTGGCCTGGGAAAGGGAGAGGAGGCTTGGTTTCCTTTAAGTTTTTTCCATCATTTTTAGACTCTAGGATGCATCACGACCCGAATTCTCCAAAGAAAACAACTGCTCTGGTTTTGAAGTAATGAGCTGAAGTCCTGTTGCGTAGGAGAGTCTTCTTGTTTAATAAATTTGTGGACATTCTTTTTGGTCAAGCTGAGGGTTTTATCGGTAGAGAATCTGTGGATATTCTTTTCCTGTCATTTCCACGTAGTCTTAGAGTAATGCATACTCTAAAACTGGTGTCTTAGGGAGCTGGGCACAGTGGTGCACACCTGAAATTCCAGTGACTCCAGAGGCTRAAGCAGGAGGATCACAAGTTTGAGGCTAGCCTCAGCAACTTAGTGAGACTCTTAGCAATTTAGCAAGGCCCTGTCCCAAAATTTTAAAAAGATGTGGGTGGGGAGGGGGTGCTGGGAATGTGGCTCAGAGTTCAATCCCCAGTGCCACACAAACAAACAAGTAAACAAAACTACCAGTGTCTGTCCTTGGTCAGGTGATCTCTTCTTATTTTCTAAAGGACAGAGCTTTTCCGTCTGTCATCTCCCAGTAGTGCTACAGGGAGTGGAAGACCCACAGTTTTGGGAGTCAGACAACCTTGAATAAATTAACCATTGTGAGTCTTGCTTTTCAAGTTTAGAGCTAGATTTCTCAACCACAGCACTGTTGACCTTTGGAAGTTTCTTTGTTTTAGGGGCTGTCTTGTGCATTATAAGGTATTTATTTATTTATTTAAAATTCTTTTTCTCAGTGTATTGGGGCTTCAACCCAAGAATGCTTTACCACTGAGCTACATCCCCAGCCCTTTTTTATTTTCAGACAGGGTCTTGCTAAATTGTTGAGGCTGGCCTTAAACTTGTGGTCCTCCTTCCTTAGCCTCCCCAGTTGCTGGGATTATGGGCATGTGCCTCCATGCCCAGCTATATAAGGTATTTATTAGCATATGTGACCTTTGCTCAATTAGATACCAGTAGCACATCCCCACCCTCAGCCAAATGTGTCTCCAGATACAATGTCGTTATTCCCTGAGTGGGACTGGGGAAGGCATCTCCCTTGATTGAGAACAACTAGTCTAGAATGGGGATAAATGGAAGAAACATGAAGGATGCCTAAGGACTGAAATGAATTAGTCATACATTAGCCAGCTTTCTGTCACTATAACAAATACCTTAGATAATCAGGTTATAAAGATAAAAGATTAACTTGGAAGTTTTGGTCCATAACCAATTGGCCTCTTTGTTTTTGGTCCAGTCCTAAGGCAGCATGTCAGACAGGAGCATGKGACAGAGCAGAAGCACCTACCTCATGGCCAAGAAGCAGAAAAACAGAAAAGACCAAGGCCCCCCAGTGAATCTAAGATGTCCCAAGAGGCCATGCTTCTTACAGGTTCCATCACCTTCCAGTGGCACATTGGGATGGGGATCCAGCCTTTAACCCACTGGGGAACTTTGCAGACCCAAAGCATAGCAGAGCCCCTCTTCCTGTTCATTTCATCTAAAGCTCAAGCCAACCTTGCAGACTAGGTAGAACGCTGTCTCCATTTTACCAGTGAGGAAGCAGAGGCGCAGACATGGTCCTTGACTTGTTAGGGACATGCAGCTGGAAGGTGTGGAGCTGGCATCTGAGCCCAGGCGATCTGACTGCAGTCTATGCTCCTAACGACGATGCCACAGTTAGCTCAGATATCCTGAGGACTGGGTCAGACAAGCCACATAAAGGACCACCAGTGTTAGGTGACCGCTTGGCGTCATGGTGAGCCTCTCCCAGCTGCCTGAGATAGAGTTCACTGGTGCTCACCAGGGTGCAAAGGAGGACCCGAGACCCAGAGCCTTGGTTGTGGGGTCCACAGAGCTGTACCAAGCTCTTCTCTAGACATGGGCCTAGCCTAGACGGGACATGGGGACCAGGAGCAGCTGACCAGGGTCCATTCCACCCTCATCCTGCCTAAGGACTGAGAGGAGACTGTGGCTTCCCAGGATGTTGTGCCAGCCTCACGGGTCTCCAGTGGAGACCCARGTTTCTGAGGTCCCTTTGGAAAGGAGAATGGCGCTCCTGAGGATGTCCAGTACTGACCATCTCAAGCTTGCCTTCCAGCCAAAGAGCCTACGACGCAGATAACAGAAGAGGTCCGGGATCAGCTCCTGGAGGCCTCTGCTGCCACCAGGAAAGCCTTCACCACCTTCCGGAGGGAGGCTGACCCCGACGACCACTACCAGTCTGGGGAGGGCACCCAGACCACCACCGACAAGACCAAGGACGAGCTGGAGATGAGCGCGGTCATTACCATCATGCAGCCCATCCTGCGCTTCCTGCAGCTGCTCTGCGAAAACCACAACCGAGACCTGCAGGTGAGGGCCCGGGCAGGTGAGGGACATCAGCCACCTTCCTCCCACACTTCAGCACCTCTCCTGCAGACAGCTGGCTTGAGCTGCAGCGTGGGTGGCTGACTTCGGAGTCTCCAGGCCTCGGTCCCCATCCAGTGGAGGTGCCTGTGAGTGAGGGGATCTTGTAGCCTGTCGCCGTGCAGCGTCTAGAGTCTCAAGTAAATATCAAAGATGTTAGCCTTAGAAAATCAGGTGCATAGAAAGTTCTCATGAACTCAGTCGCACGCTGCACAACGTTACCTCGGTCAGTGGCAGACCACGCCCGCGATGGTAGGTGCCATCTGCCCCAGGAGGGTAGTAGACTGTGCCATCTGGGTTTATGTGAGTATATTCTGTGACGCTGGCACCAAGAGGTTGCCTAACATCTTGTTTCTCAGCACTTATTCCCATCCTCAAGCAAAGCATGGCTGCCAGTTGAATGGAGTAGTTGCCTTCCAGAGTTTCCACAAATAGTCAGGAATCATTACTCACACTCTTGGAAATCCTTTGTTCATTTCTTGTTTGGGGATGATAACCATAGCCAAGGTTTATTGGGTCTTCTGAGTGCCCTGGGTGCCAKGTGTGGCTTTGGGTAACTACATACGTTGTCGTACTTCAGAGATGAGAAAATTGAAGTGCGGGGGACGCGGGACGCAGGACRCGGGAAGGAGGGCAGGACAGGGCCTTGGACCCAGGTGTCCCAAGGCCGGAGCTGCTGACCACACGCTACATCAGAGGCTCGCTAACTCCCTTGCAGAGTTTCCCAGCCAAAGTGCCCCAGCTGGGTGCCAGAGACTGGCCTCTTTCTTCCAAATGGGCCCAGGTATGTGGAGGCCCAGTCCCACCCAGTAGAGCATCCTGGAGCCCTGGGCCCATGGCCACTGCCTGGGTTGGCTGCCAACTCTTGAGCCCAAGGACATCACCTGCGTTTGCCCTAATAGAGAGAGGATGAATAAGGAAAAGGTGTTGGACAGCTCCTCCCACGTGGAATGCTTCCTCCCAGGATCACAGTCAGCACTGGGAGTTTCTGAGCTTAGAATAAAAAAGGGGAAAAAAACAGTAGGAGGCTGAAATGACACTAGTCACATCTGGCAAGGGCAGGGTGTCACCTATAAGTACTGCCATCGCTGGCTTTCCCACAGGTGACCCAATGGCCTGTCACACATTGACTGTGGCAGACCATTTGGTGTTGCCACTGTGAGTTGCTGCCACCCAATCTCTGTGGGGATCAGCCAGATAGGAAGGACTTGTTATGGAGGAAGGCAGAGGAGTGAAGGAAGAGCCAGAATTTGGAAAAAGCATCTCAGATCTGAGGTCATTGTCTGGCCAAGTCTGACCCACGACTTAAAAGGAAGAGATTGCCCACAGACTCTGCAGGTGGCCACGCTGAACCCCCAGGGCCAGGGGGTATGAGTGGCTGAGGCAGAGGCCCTCCAGACGGGGCCGGGGTCTTTCTCCTGCTGCTGGTTGATGTCAACCATTGACCTTYGTGCGCTATGTCAACCCCTGCGTGTGGGATCCTGTCAGTTTTCTAGCCCCTCTGCAAGCTCCCTTCCTGTGGCCGAGAGCACTTTAGTTCCAGACCCCTGGTTGGATCTTCGTGGCTCAGTCAAGTGGAGCAAGAGGCTCCTGCCCCGACGCCCAGGTGTGACTGTTGCCTTGTTAGCTGGTCCCACTGTCTGAAAGGTGACTGTGCCCAGAAGTCATCTGCCCCTCTGTCTTATAAGGGACCCCGTTAATTCTGAAGGAGGCCTGTGAAGGTGGAGTTAGTGCCCTGGGGAGCCAGGGTGGCTGGGTGTGGCATCTTTGTGGGTAAAGGGCCCACCCTGCTTCTGGGGCCATTTCTAGACTAAGCATAGAGACAGTTCCCAGTGTTGCTCCTCTGTGTGACATCACCAGTGACATCACCAGTAGGGAAGCAGGGATGGATGATTGTGCCAGTGAACAGTTATGGGGCACCTGGTGACGGGACCTCATCACAGTGCTGAGTGTCTGGTAGGGAGCCCGTGGGCCCRCCAGAGATGGCAGCCAGTGCTGGGTGTTGCACGAGTTCATCGTAGGGCATTCACCAGGTCAGAGGAAGGGGGCCGCCCTGTCTGTGYGGCCCCGGAGGGCTTCTCGGGGGTGCTGATATGGGAGTTCTGCKCTCACCACGCCCAGGGCTGTCCAGGTGGACCCTCCTGCCACCCAGGGCAGAGCCGCGAGCCTCCCCAGTATGGTCCTGGGTGGTGCCCCTGCCCTGCTCTCCGCCTCCCAAGCTCTCCCTCGCCAGCACACCCGCCCTCCTCCGCAGTGGGAGTAGAGTGAGGTCTAAAATTCATTATTTCTTATTTGGAAGTCTTCAGAATTGTAGTTTCATACTCTAGCTCTTCCCACAACTGTCCTTCAGACTATCGCCCCGGGAAGMCCACAGGCAGAAGCTCCTCCTAATGAAGTCTTTTCAGAACTTGATTCTCCTGTCTGCAGCTCTGTGGGATACGGTGCTGTGGGGAGGGGTTAAAAGATATTTTCATATATTGGGGAAAAAAAAGACCTGGTAATTTAATTTCAAGGTATATAAAGATGATCCAATTTGGTGCTTTCAAATTCCTTTTTTTTTTTTAAGCCATAGAATCCTTTGTTTGAAGAACATTTATGCAGAAATGCACTGAGCAGATGAGAGTAAAGCTGCTCTGTTCAGAGTGGAAACCAGAGAGTGCTAGAGGCCCCCCTCCATCTGTAAGAGCCCTGGAAGGTGGGGGCATTCCAGGGACCTCTCCCAAGGTTCCACAGGCCCCGTGAGAAAGCCAGTGAACGGGACCCGTGGGTCACAAGGATGTAGGTCAAAACTCCCACAAAGTCAGGCTGGGTGTGGTGGCACACACCCATAAACCCAGCTACTGGAGAGACTGAGGCAGGAGGATGACAARGACCAAGGATGTGGCTCAGTGGGAGAGTGCCCGGGTTCATTTCCCAGGGCCACCAAACAAAAACACCTTCCACGAAATCCTTCAGGTGGTGAACTTGCCCCAGTGAAATCAGATTTTCAGGAGTCCAGTTCCCCTGTGACGGTTTTCCGTGGGGATCCACTCTTGTGACTGACACCTGTTTCTAGCATTCCGTCCGGGCAGTGGGTCCCAGGGAAGYGGAGTTGTCTCTGGAGGGGTTTCTGGCTCCCTGGTTTGAGAAGCGCAGATTGACTAGAGAGAAGGAACGGGCCTCCTGAAGCCGCAGCCCCCGGGCTCCTGCTCAGAGCCTCTTGTCCTGGGTACAACCTTAACTTTGCTGTTGGTAAATGTGCAGTAGAGAGGCCGCCGCGGAGTTTGTGCCAAGTGGCAGTTGCTGCTCTAAGGAAAGCAGGTCCAGATCTCTGGGTAGACTTAAGCCTGGGCTTGGGCCCTTGGCTTCTTTCCCTGCCCTTCCCTGCTTACTCTCTCTCGGCCTGGCCTGGCTGATGGGAAGACTTCTCCAGCGCAGCAGGTGGCTGGTGCTGGCAGCACGTGGTAGCAGCCCCTGGGTACGCTGACAGCATCCCTCTGTGTGTGTAGAGGACAAGAGGACAGGGGTCTGAATTAGGGAATGGGAGGTTCCAGCAAGTCACCTCAGAAACCCTGGGAAATGGGACAGGCTTTGGAGAAAGGGCAGCTAGCTGGCCTCCATGGGGAGCTGGAAACGTGGGTGCAGTATTAGCAGGCGGCTTCCCCAGGGCCCTTTCCTTCCTCTGTCCCACGGAATGCAGAGATTCAGCCAGCATTTGTAAAGTGCCCAGGAGGCACCAGCCCCCGTGCCAGCTGCCTGGGGACTCGGTGCTGTCAATATGGTTCTGGGGAGAGCCGTCTAGAGCTGTGTCACAGAGGTGGGGCTGCAGCATCTGGGGGCTAGCCACATCCTAGAGGAGGAGGAGGCAGGGTGGAGGCAGGGGGATGGCGCAGTTGGAGCCCCAGAAGCAAAAGAACAGAGTGCATGATGAGCAGCAAGCTCAATGCAGAGAGGGGTGTGATGGGAACCCTGCTGTCACCAAGCAGAGAGGGTGTGGTCATTCAGGTGGCCCCACTGAGCAGAGCAGGGTGTGGTGGGAACAGTGACTGGAATTTGAAGGAGCTGCTGAGAAGGAGGCCCTCTCCACCCAGCGCTCCTCCTCCAGACCTGGCCAGGGGCTCCTCCAGGCCCTTAGGCAACAGCACCCTCCCAGAGGAGTGGGTAAAATGGGTCTGAAACCCTCCTCTGGCTGCCTGTAGTCCTGAGAAAAACAATCCTTGACTTCAGGAATACGTGAATATATCCTCTTTATAAAGGTTCTAACAAAAATACACATTTAGTTTTTTTTTTCTTACATGACAATAGTGGAATGCATTACAATCATAAAAAAAATAAAAAGTGCATAGAAGGAATAAAAAAAATAGTTTTAGTTCAGACTTCTCTTTCTTCTATCCAAGAAGCATCATCTCAGTCTTTTTTCTTTATATTTAAAAGGAAACATTTAATACAAATGTGTTTGTGTCACCAATTAACCTATTTGCCAATTTCTTTTTAACCTAACACTGTGCCCTAGATCTTTCCTTATGACACACATTGATCGACTTGGTCTTTCTAGTTTACAATCATGAATGATATGGGTAGTGTCTTTTATTTATTTACTTATTTATTTATTTTAAGTCATTGATGGACCTCTATTTAATTTATTTATTTGTATGAGTTGCTGAAAATTGAACCTAGGGCTTCACACAAGCCAAGCAAGCACTCTACCACTGAGCCACAACCCCAGTCCCTGACTTTTATTTTTAACTACACCTCAATTGGTAGGCATTGAGTTTTTTGTTTGTTTGTTTGTTTTGTTTTGTTTTTTTAGCAGGAATTGAACTAGGGGGCCACATCCCCAGTSTCTTTTGAAAATCATGATTTTTCATTTTGAGACAGGGTCTCGCTAAGTCGCTGAGGCTGGCTTTGAATTCGTGATCCTCCTACCTCAGCCTCCCAAGCTGTGGGGAGTAGAGGCGTGTGCCACYACACCCGGCTCCTTGAGGTTACTTATAGTTCTTCACCATTATCAACAGTGCTGTAGTGAGCACCCCATGCACATACTTTTTTAGTAAAAATGAGTATTTCACAAACGTGGAATTACCAAGTCAGAGGTTATGTTCATGTCATCTTGTGATTTTATCTTTTTCTGTTTTTCATTTTCTGYAGTAAATAAGGTGTCACTTTTGTAACCGTGAGATGAAGAATATCACCTTATTATTTCCCCGTGCTTTAAGAATGGGAATGGCCAAGCAGGATAATCTAGGCTCCCTCCATGGCCCATAAACCAACCTGTAACATCTAATACCATGGGGAACTGTCCCCACTGCTAGGCTCTGCGTGTTCAGCACCCAAGCCGCACCATCATCTCTTTTTTTCTTTTCTTAGTGCATTACAGATATATATAAGAGTTGGGTTCATTTTGAAAAAAAAATAATAATACGTGCAGGGTATTTGATATACTCCATTTCATTCCCAAGTCCCCCACCTTTCCTCCTCTCTCCTCCCTTCCTTGATATTCTCCTTCCTCTCCCTCTTGGTCTTCCTTTCACTCCTTTATMTAAATTTATTTTGATTGGCTCTTGGTAGTGATACAGATGCACAAAGGTGGAATTCACTGTGGTAGACTTATACACACAAACAACATGATTTTCCTACCTTCATTCTGCTTTTCCCACCTTTCTTCCCTTCCCCCCAATTTCTTTCTTCTGCTCCTCTTATCTTCCCTGTCTTAATGATATCTTTACACACACACACACACACACACACACACACACACACACGCACACTTTTTTCCCTTATTTCTCTCTGGCTTCCACATATGATAGAAAACATTCAGCCCTTGACATTCTGAATCTGGCTTATTTCACTTAACATGACGTTCTACATTGCCATCCCTTTTTTCTTTTTATTTTCCAAATGCCATAATTTCATTCTTCTCTATGGCTGACTAAAACTCCATTGTGTATTGTGTACATACACCACATTGTCTTGACCCATGCATCTGTTGATGGGCATCTGGGCTGGTTCTAGCTTGGCTGGTGGGAATCGTGCTCCTGTAAGCCCTCACGCGCATGTTGTGTCACCGTGGTCTGTTGATTTTACTTCTTTTAGGTATAGAGAGAGGAGTGGGATAGCTGGGTCATGTGGTAGTTCCATTCCTGGTTTTTTGAGGAGTCTCCGTATGGCTTTCCAGGGTGGTTGTACTAATTCGCAGTCCCACCAACAATGTACACGTGTACCTTTTCCCCCACTTTCTCACCAATGCTTATTATTGTTTGTGTTCTTGATGGTTGGAATTCTGACTAGAGGGAGATGAAATCCTRGTGTAGTTTTGAACCACCTTTAAAATGTCAGACATCACTGAGTGGGAGGTTGGTAGAGGGAGGGGTACAGAGGGGTAAGAATTAAATGGAGAAATGAGAACTCGAWAAGACTGTAAGAGTTGGAACTGGACTACAAGGAGAAGCCCTCCTCCACTGTATCCCAAGCAGAAACCCTGGAGAGCAAGCCACACCATTCATGGCCATTGCCACTCATTAAGTCCATCATGGTTAGTGGACCATCATGGGAATCATACAGACTCTCTGTCCCATGCTGCATCTGTCTGCCTAATTGCTGACCAGTCCAGGGCACAACCTGTTAGAGATTGTAAGCATGGCAATGAYCTTGACCCTCTTCTCTCCCCCACCTCCACCTGCAGAACTTCCTTCGTTGCCAAAATAACAAGACCAACTACAATTTGGTGTGTGAGACGCTGCAGTTTCTRGACTGTATTTGTGGGAGCACAACTGGTGGCCTTGGGCTCCTTGGACTGTACATCAACGAGAAGAATGTCGCGCTTATCAATCAAACCCTGGAAAGTCTGACTGAATACTGTCAGGGACCTTGCCATGAAAACCAGGTGATTCCATCTGCAATTGCTTTATCATTTTGGAAGTGTTGATGAGACTAGTTCAGGTCTCATGAAAACAGAAGGGAGATCAGTGGAGGAGAGGAAATGGGAAATGCTGGGAAATGATGTTGGCCAAATTATATGGTTTTGTTTTGTGCATGTACAGATAGGTAACAACAAGTCTTGCCGTTAGATATGGTTAAAACACACCGATAAAAATACAGGGGAAAAAAAGAGGCTGGTTCAGAAGTCACCTCACATCTGTCTGCTGCCCTAGGGAGTCAGTGGGACTGGAGGTGGAAAGACCATTCCCCCCTTTGTCAGCCCTCAGAACTTCACCTAATGATGGACTCTGGAGGGCTTGACRTTGGCCTCTGGGGTTGGTTTGGTTTGTTTGGACATTCAACTCTAACTTGACTTTTTAGGGGTCAGTGATAAAGTGGAAGAGGGGGGGCTACATTAGCACCAGAAAAATGGTGATTTATTGTAAATACCAGGAAAGATTAAAAAGAGGCTATTTGAAGGGGATGTGAACTTAGATAGAGACAAGGTCTCCACACAAAACAGCTTGAAAGCAGCATGAGGACATTTCTAGTTGCCATGATAACGCTGTGGATATTGAGGCAAAGCAGATGGGTCTCTGGCCCCCTGGAGGTGTGCTGTGGAGTGGAGCCCGGAACTTCTCTTCCTGGTAGGGTTGTGGCTTGTAGGTGGCATCTTGAAGACGGGGTGAGTTTGAGCCTTGGTGCAGGACCGAGTGTGATTCACAGTTCCACGCTGAAGCTCCTTTCTGGCTGGGGTGGGCAGAGCAAGTCTTCAGGTGGCCGGGAAGGCGTGCAGTGCTGATTACCTGGAGAGACAGGACCTTCACTCCAAGGACAGTCGTTTTCCAGAGACGTCTCGTGGCCTGCATAAAACCTGGCCTTGGTCACCTGGGAATGTGAGACTAGTGTTTTGCTAGGTCTGCTTTCCCCTCCTGGTGTCCTGATGGAGCCGATRGTGCAGTCCTAGCTAGGAGAAGGAGCACAGAAATGCCCCAGGCTTCAGGGAAAGGCTCTCTTTGACATTGCAGGGAATTTCCTTAAAACCTCGGGTTTGCCTTTCTGCCAGAGGCCTGGAAAGCAAGAGGCTGCAGGGGGTTGTGCTTTGGGAAGATGATTAATTTTGATATTGTGTGAATTAAACTAGAAGTTTGCTTTCTAAACTTATGCCTTAAGCAAAGACACCAAAACAAAATGAGTGACGTCAGAGGGAATGGAATACACTTTTAAAGGGGAAAAAGGGCTCAGACCCTAGTATCAGTCACGCACTGTATTTTCCTTTTAAGAACAAAAGCTTACTGCACGGCACTATTTGGATCAGATGAGACCAATTTATCAGTTAGCATACATGGGGACTTTCCTGCTGTTTACTGTTAATTCTGAAACTAGAGATGTTCATCTGTCTTTTATTTTTACCACTTTCTCACGGAAAATTGCAGCCCTCCCCTAGAGACATTGCTGGGAGCCGCAGACGTTGTGTTGAAATAGCCGCTGAGCCTCTTGGCCTTTGACTTCTGATTTATGTCCGGCATTTGTGTGAATGTCTGTGTGTCTCTCTGCCCAGAACTGCATCGCCACCCACGAGTCCAATGGCATCGACATCATCACAGCCCTGATCCTCAACGACATCAACCCTCTGGGGAAGAAGCGCATGGACCTCGTGTTAGAACTGAAGGCAAGTTTGAGAGCCCTGAGAGGAGGGGTGCTGGTGCTGCGTCGTTACATAATCAGGGTCCTGAGCTAGGTAGTAGTGGTGGTTCTGTTGAGCTGCATGAAAGAGCCAAGTCACATGTACTCACTGAAATGTGGCACTATCCAAATAAGGGCCTTGGGACAGGTACCAGCTTTTCAATTGTTAGGTCACATGTCACTCAGAGATGAGAAGCGAAMCTGGCATCCAAGAACCAGAAGCCCGCATTCCAAAAGCTACAGGCCGGGAGACGATGGAAAGATTCTTCTCTCTGGGGTTTCTAGATTTTTCCCCCTTTGAGGATAAAGGTTAGGTTTGGTTGTACTAAGCTTCAACCAATCTAGTAACTCAAAAAATCCATTTTTACTTAATCAGGATAATACATTTTTTTTTAAATTCAGTCCTGAATTAGCAGAAGGGTGGCTAGTAATGTTTAAAGTAAGGACAGTACAATGAGAATGTGCCTTCAGGCCCATGATGACCCATGTGTGGATGGAGGCCTTCACGTAGTTGATACGGAAGCACCACCGGCTTTTGACTCTCCGTAAACACTGAAGTAGCTTTTCAGAGTAAAAGCAGTGCTTTCAAGGTCCCTAAGCTGCAGGGTTTATAATCTGGTTTTGAAATATRTGAACAACACATATACCATCCCAGAAAGTGACTTCTTGAGTGAGCCCCCAAACTCTCCCCTTGCTTTGAGGTTCCAAAGGTTCTCACAGAATCCAAAGAATTAGGACTTGGGGTATAGTGYAGCAGTAGACCACTTGCCTAGCATGCACAAGACCATGGGTTCCATTCCTAGCACCCTCCCCCCCAAAAAAAATACAGAGGTTCACTTCTGAAACTTGTACTTGAAACCCACCCTGGTGTGTGCAAAGGTGTTATTGTCACTGAGCACATTTCCTCCTAGCTGTCCCCATGTTGGTGCGAGTTGAGATCTGTACCCTTGCKTACAGCCACATACAGCATTGAGCACTTTGTCATTATCATGGAAAGGCCCAGAACTACAGGGTTCACTGGAAAACTGCTCTGTGTTTGCTGCATGGAAGGYCCAGTTATTTTTATTTTTTCTTTAGTACTTCAGTGGAGGGTCTAATTAGTTGATTTGGGTATATGGATTTTTTTGGGGGGAGGGGGCAGTGCTTTTAGCTCCTTTTGAGAAATTTTGCTTTACACCTGATTTGAACATCGTGCAAACACRCCGTTTATCAGCCACTGGACTACCCTGAGACATTCATGTGCTCCAGGGCAGCATTTCAGTGACCTGTTCTACTAATTCAACAGTCTGATGATCTGAGGATAATTATAGAAAGTTCTGTCTTATGACAGCACAGCAACCTAACTGAGCTGCTGTGAAGCTTGGGGAGGAACACCCCCCCCCCAAAAAAAAAAAAAAAAAAAAAAAAACAAGATCTTTGGAGTCCTATAAACAAAAAGCCTAGAAATCCTTATGGCCCAGGACCTCAAGTGAGGTCAAGCCAAGATCCACAGGGTGTAGCCACATGGGCACTGATAACAGGATGGGAACACAGAGCTTGGCAGGCAGGCAGTGTTCCTCTGGGTCACTCTGGTTAAGTGTGTTAGTTGTACTCTCATGGTATTTGGAGTTATGGGTACTGATGGAAATATTTTCAGACCACGAAGAACTATCCTGGTTGCCTTGTCTTCTCTGGCCTGCTGGGCTGAGCAGCAGTGTCCCTACACTCATCTGCCCCTGCAGAGAACTTGCCACTCCCCTCCTCAGGAACATCAAGTCAGCATGGGCCTGTGCACAGCCATGTCACCAAGAGTGACAGTCCAGTCAGGCCTCCACGTGTGCCTCTCAATATCTGCAGGGTCAGCCAACTGCAGGATCAAAATATTTGAGGAAAAATAATTGCACCTATGCTGAAAACGTACAGACAGTCTTGTTCTTGTTATTATTTCCTAAAAAAATACAGCACAGCAACAATTATTGACCTTGTACTTTTACATTGTGTTATGTATTATCATAAATAGTCCAGAGAAGAAGTATTTGGAAGGATGTTCTCAGTTATATGCACAGACCATGCCATTTTCTATAAGGGACCTTAGCATCCCTGGGTTTTGGTTCCCCAGGGGTCCTGGGACCGATCCCCCATGGAGACTGGTGGGTGACTGGCACCCGCCAGCACCCAGGTTTAGAATTCCAATACTAGCTAGTCTTCCATCAGCTGACACCTGCGTCTCTTTGACCTGAATCGGATTGTGTGCWTGTCGCGGGGTCTGAAGGTAGCACCTCTTCTGCCTGTTGCAGAGCGTCTGTGCCATCCTCTCCCCACCAGGTGGACGCCTGTCTGACTAGCCAGGCTGCACACCTGAGTCCCCCGCCCTTGTAATTCCCCTGCCTCTCTCACCCTGGCTTTTCTCCAACTAGAACAACGCTTCCAAGTTGCTGCTGGCCATCATGGAGAGCAGACACGACAGTGAGAATGCCGAGAGGATTCTCTACAACATGCGGCCAAAGGAGCTGGTGAGTTGGGAACATCAAAGCAGGACCTGGGACCCACTAAAGGAAGCTTTCTTCAAGATTCATCAAACCAGAAGGATGAAGAAAACTCGCAATTCAGGCCCCTGAGCGGGTGGGGAGGTGAAGCGTAGGGCACTGGACATGTGTTCCCTGTCCCTGGAGCATCCAGAAGCCACCCTCTCTGTTTTCCGCTCATGGAGGACTGGGTGCAGAGCATGGTCAAGTTCACTGGCCAAGTTCAGATGCATTACGGTGTGGTTTTGGCAGCCATTTGACCTCTCCGACTTCACACTTCCCTGATTCATAAAAGAAAGATGAAGTCACCTGGGCCAAAGCGTTGTTTTCAAGACTAGATGAGAAGGTTCACATCTAGCCCAGTGCAGTGCTGACACACTATAGTCCTCTGTGAATCAAAGCCCCTTTTCTGCTCACTCCTATTCTTTGCTGATATTTTTGTCACGTCTTTGTCCAGGGGTGACAAGATCACATCCGTTCTTGTTGCCAGTGGTCTGGACAATGGAAGAGAAGTTTCTTGGATGGCTGGCGTGCTTTCTTGGCTTGAGTTTTCTTTGGAGAAAACACGATCTGGTTTATTTTTGAGGGGTGATATTCACAGGGGGCTGTGACTTCCAGGTTGGAGTTGGGGCTGCAGACTGTCAGACGAGGAGCGTTCAGAGATGGTGACATGAGCAGAGGGCAGAGCTCTCTTTTTGGACTTTTCCCCATACAAACAAACTGCAGCTGACAGACTTAAATGAGGGCATTAAAACAGCTCTGCCTCCTGCTGACCTAGATGTGCACAGGCCAAAGTCCCTTCATGTATTTCTTTAAATAAAGTTAAGAGCAGCCCAGTTCTTTGATCTCCGAGRTCAGGGAGTAAGGTCTCAGCCCGAGCTGGGAGTCCTCTGTGCGTTTGCATAATAGCTTGTATAACTGGGAGTGCTGGGGACTCAGGGTTATCTTTCTTGAGTAGGGTCAGCATGACCTTGCAGAGAACTGCTCTAAGAAAGCACCCAGCTCTTCTGGCCTGTCCTGGGTGGGGGAAATGCCAGCACCCCATACTGTGGCTGCCTCTAGCTCCTGGTTGGCCCCGTTGTGCTTGGAGAACATCATTCTGGCTCATGGGAGGAGTCGGACTTCCTGGAACAAACATGGCTCTGAGTGTCTAGATAGAGGGACGCTCAGATGTCCAGTGTGTGTGTGCACGCGTGCACTGTGCATGTTGTGGCCCTGCATCCTACACAACATGCTGTCTGCCTGATTGGATATTAGAGAGAACTTGGCAGGAATCAAAGCTCAGAGAAGGAGGCTTTGTCTCCAAAGTTCAACCCAGTGCCTGAACTGGCCTTGGTGCAGAAATGGGTGGCTCTCCACGTACTTGATTTGGGGTAATGAGAAATAATTCCAGATTGCTGCCTTGTGGCTAAACTGCCTTCTGAACCATCAAAAAAGCCAAAACACCAACAAACAAAAAAAATGAATCTTTCGTACGACTTAGGGAGTGGAGGTGTTCTTACTCTTTAAATGATGAAATCCTGAACAATTTGTTCATTTAATAAATCCTGGCCAGGCCCTCCATCAGCCAGGGCACCGTGCTGGGCACTAGGGCAGGGTCTGGATACAGGCAGACTCGGCTCCTGCTCCCTGGGAGGTGAGGTGAGTGGAAACGGCAAGATAGGGACAGAAAGGCTCCAGGATGCTGGGGGCATGAGCCAAGCCAGGTGCATAGAACCAGGGACAGAGCTGTGGCACATTAACTGTGACTTCATCAGTGTTCTTTTCTCTTAGTGTCTTTGTCCATAAAGAAATGGAACCTCTGGTAACTTTATAAAATGTTTGTGAGCATTAATTTTTTGGGGGGTGGTGGTGCTGGGGATTGAACCCAAAGCCTTGCGCCTGCGAGGCAAGCACTCTACCAAGTGAACTAGAGCCTCAGCCCTATGAGCATTACATTTTTRAAAAGAACATGAAAATAGTAAGCACGGTGCCTGGCACCAAGGAGAAGCGGTCAATAGATGTTACTAGTTGTCTATTATTTTCACATAGTGTAGGCTTGTSGGGGAAGGGAACTGAATAAGAAAAATATTTCACAGCCAGGCACAGTTATGCACATTCCAGTGACTCAGGAGGTTGGGGCAGGGGGATTACAAGTTTGAGGCCAGCCTCAGCAATTTAGCAAGACCTGTTGCAAAAAGGTGGTGTAGTTCAGTGGTGGAGTAACCCTGGGTTCAATCCCCAGCACCAAAAAAAAAAAAAGAAAAAGAAAGAAAGAAAACAAGCTGTTATAAAAAACAAATGGATTTCTTAGCAGATTTTTCCTAAAAGGACAAAATTGGGATTAAGGAGAGTTGATGGAAAGATGGAGATAGGAAAATTCAGGCTTCTAACTTACATTTGTATCATATTTGCCTTTTCAAAGTGCTTTTATAGCCATTGCCGCCTTTTAAATTAGGAGCCATAGAATATCTCTTGCTCCAAGTAGAGTGAATGAATTTGCTTCTTGTCTGTGGAGGGTAAAGGTCTCKACTGCTTGCAGCAGTGTTAGGAGGATTCTGAGGCTGCGTTCCAAGCCCGCTAGGAAATGCTGCTGCACTGGGTGGGCAGCATCTGCCCCGGAGGGAAGATTACCACCTGGGTGCTACAGACGCCAGTCTTCAGAGGGTCCCCTCGGCCCTTCTTGCAGGTGGAAGTGATCAAGAAGGCTTACATGCAAGGCGAAGTCGAATTTGAGGATGGAGAAAACGGTGAGGACGGAGCTGCCTCCCCCAGGAATGTGGGGCACAACATCTACATATTAGCACACCAGGTATGAGCTCCTATGCCCCTGMAGACTCTGCGCCCAAGGCCACCACTCCAAGCCCAAGGGCCTTCCCTGAGGGCTGTGGACCTGGGACTGGCCCTCCTTGATGGCCTTCTCTGAGGGCCGGCTGCACTCATGAGAGTGCGGCTCCYGGGAGTTTTGGCATCTGATCTGAGGCCCAGGACTTTTCTGTGCTGGGGTCACAGACTTGGAAATCCCCCTTATAAGCACCCACCCCTGGGCAGTAACAGTCGGTAGTTTATGATCTTGTCTGGAGTCCTGTGAAAGGCGTCCCAGCCTTTCTTATAAAYACAGCCAAGTTTCTCAACAATCTAAAGGAGTAAACTCCAGCTTCCCCCCAGCCGTATGTGAGGTCCGTGGGAMCTTGTCGTTAGGACTTCCTTCTGCCTTGGGGGATAGGGTGATGCTCCGTGCCCTGGCATCCCAGTGTCTCCTTTCTTTATCCTGTTCCCTGTAGGAGGTTCTTAATCCTCCTCTTTCTGGGTGCTGATGTCTCTTGGATTTTTGGGGGGTCTGGGCAGGCCGTAGCTCAGCTCCTGTTTCCTGTCCCCCTTGTCCCTCGAGCAGAGACCCAGCTATATGCAATGATGGGGTTGGGCCCGAGGTTGGTAGGTCCCCACCCCATTTCTATCCCATGATTAGCATCTGACCTCCAAAAGGGCTTCTGAACATTCCACATGGAGGCTCTGCAGGACTGTCCAGAAAACCCTCCTGTCTATATAGAAATCAGGGGACCCTCATGCAGTGGCACGGCCTGTAATCCCAGCAGCTCCAGAGGCCGAGGCAGGAGGATCGCAAGTTCAAAGCCAGCCTCAGCAATTTAGCAAGGCCCTCAGCAATTGGCAAGACCCTGTCTCAAAATAACAAAAGAAAAGGGCTGGGGATCTGGCTCAGAGGCCGAGCCCCTTTGGGTTAAATCTCTGCTACCCCCTGCCCCCTGAAAAAAAGAAATGAAATGAAATCAAGGGGAAGCAAGGACCCTGTATGAGCTTCCAGGACTTTTCTACCAGGCTCTCCAAATGACCCCTGTGCAGAGGCACCTGGAGAGAAGGTAGCAAGCCTCCCAGCTCCTTTGCCCTCCGCTTGCTGCTGGTTGCGATGCACTGTTTGAAACTCGTAGCTAGAAAGAGCTCATGCATTCCTGTTGTGGAGATGTTGCCCCTGTGTTTCTGTACTTGTGTTCTAGTTGGCTCGGCACAACAAAGAACTTCAGACCATGCTGAAGCCTGGTGGCCAGGTGGATGGAGATGAAGCTCTGGAGTTCTACGCCAAGCACACGGCACAGATCGAGGTAAGCGCCGACCTTCAGTGCTAAGGCCTCCACTGAGCAATGCCCTGTGCCGGGCCTGTGCACATTCTTTATYTGAGCAGTGAAGGTGCTGTGAGCACCTCCTCTATACCAGGTCTTGCGTAAGGTGTGAATTAACCAGTGATGGACGTCGCTCGTGTCGCTTGAGGGCTGGAGATGAGGTGGGCTCTGAGCAGAKCCACACAGAGACATCTCACTCATGTCAGATTGTGGCCAGGCCACAAGGATATGGCATAAAAGAAAGCCCAGCAGAGGGGACGTGCTGCAGACTGTGATGCCCAGGAGGCCTGTTCTGAAGAAGTGGCCTCTGAGTGCAGACCCTCATGAACGGGCGAGGAGCTTCTCAGACCCTGGGAGGGGAGATTCTCGGGAGAGTGGAGAYGAGCAAGGCCCAGGGGCTGCAATTCAGGGAGCTGAAGGGAGGGGGCAGCCCCGAGCCTGCAGAACTGGTGCACCATCCCTGGGAGAAGTCCAGACTGGACCCCAGGGCAATGGGACCACTAGGGAGCCCCTCACTCAGCGACACTACAGTCACATCTGCATGTTAAACCAAACAAAAAAGGTCTTACTAATAATCCTCCTTGAACTGGTTGGTAATGTCCCCATTTTTCACACGGAGAATCACTGCCGTAAGGCTCAGGGGAGTCGTGTTCCTTCTCCAACTCTCAGTGACAGAGCTGGAATTTTAATCCCCGTCTGTCTGACCCCCGAGCCTGGGGATGCRTTTTATGTCCCCTGAATTGTCTCTTAGCATCCCAGGGAACACGGGCTTCCATCTCCAGTCCTGTGGCAGTAAGGGATGATGTGTCACGTTTTGCCAACAAGGAAATATCCAAGCTCAGCATCAGCATTGAAAGGAGYGTTCACGTTCACAAGGACTAGCACATTCCTTTGAGCAGCGAGCATGTTCAAGATGGAGATTTTTCATGTGTTCTTCTCTGATGAATCAGGTTTCCAGGTCATCCTAATGTCATGTATCATTTCACTCATGTGCCAGAGTAGGTGAGCACATATTCTTGATTCATCATGCATGTCAAGGAGCTTGGCCACAGGGCCAGTTCTGTCTTCTGGAACCCTTGGAAGACACGTGTTAGGTGTTGGTGCCATAGAATGTCAGAGGAGACCGGAACCTTAGAGGTCWTTTTGTTGAGCTCAATGGTTTACTGGGGAGAAGACCCACTAGAGGCTGGAGAAGWACTAGAGAAGTTCTCCTGCCTCCCACTTCTAAGTGGCTTTTAAAAAAAAAAAAAAGGACAGAAATGCCTAGATGTCCCTGCCTTTGGCCAACACCCTCCCCTTCCCTCGGGTTTCCCCTGGGGTTACCTGAGGGAACCAGGGAACAGTTCCTCACCTCCTGGGGCTTTCTTTGCCGCCCCAGTGTCCTCACTGGGAGTCGGGCTAGGTGGCCCCGGGCTCGGGAACTCCTCCTGCTCCTTTTCCTCCTGAGCCCAGATGCACATCTCTCATGGTGTCCWTCAGGAGAAGGCAGGACTGATTCCCAGTGGATTGACTGTGTGGAGCAGACAGGTTCTCCATAGCAGGACACTGCAGAATGGTCCCTGCCCCCCTGTTTACACCAGAATTACCTGGAGAGCTGGATCACGGGCAGGTTCTGGTCACTAACCCCTCACATTGTGATTCTAGTTCTATGAGGTTAGGTCGTGGGCAGAACTAGTGTGAGAACAAAGGCTTCCGAAACCTGAGTTCCAGCTAGATTCAGGAAGCACTGGTCTACAGACCACGTCCCTCAGAGAATATGGAGCCAGGGCTTGGGAACCCGTCCCACCTCTGGGACACCTTCCCACTTGTGTTAGTCAGCTTTTCGTCACTGTGACCAAAATACCTGATAGGAAAAATTTAGAGGAGGAAAAGTTTATTTGGGGCTCAGTTTCAGAGATCTCAGTTCATGGTTAGAAAGTTTCATTGCTCTGGGCCCATGGCAAAGCAGGACATCATGACACCAGGTCCCAGCTAAGGGAAACTGCTCAGCTCATGGCAGCCAGGAAGCAGAGAGGGAGGAGGAAGGCRGAGGAGAAGAGAGGGGACCAAGGGGCCACAGGGACGATGCACCCTTCCAGGGCACGCCCCCGGTGACCCACCTCTTCCAGCCACACCCTACCTGCCTGTGGTCACCGGGACCCCGTCAGCCCATTAGGATGGACTGCTGAGGCTGCAGCTCTCAGTCCAGTCATTTCACCCTGTGGATTCCTGCGTGAACACAAGAGCTTTTAGGGGACACCTTGCACCCACGCCACAACAGCACCACGCCGTGGCCTGAGTCGTGTCTCTTGCTGCAAAGTATTGGGAGAATAAGAACCAGCTCTTGTTATAGGGCCTTGGCCCTGGGCCTCACCTGACTTCTCCACCTTCTGAGGAGGAAGACTGAAGAGAGGTCATGCCTCCTCTGTCCTGTGGCCCATTGTCCTTTTGAAATTTCTACACCTGCCCGGGACTATACAGTATCCKAGAATTTGGACAATCCAGAGCAGACTGTCCTCTCTGCTCCCTGAACCTGACTAAGGTATCCTGCACCCCAGGGGCCCAACAAAGCTAGCTTAGAGGACAATGAGGCCATCTCAGATCACATGGACACCTTGGCTCACATACCATACGTTTTAGATGCCCTGACAGGTAAGAGGTCACTGCAGCTGGATGTAAACCAAAGGTCTCTGCATAAAGTTCCTCTGGYGGAATAACTCAGCTTTGCTATCTGAGAAAGGATCTTGGGTTACACCGTGGCCCATCAGTGCTCCATCCAGTGTGAGAGTTCTGTGTGGCTGCTGAGACAAAAATGAAATATAACGGAATATTCAGCTCCTCAGTTGCAGTAAGCATATATGCTAATGCCCAGAGGCCACCTGTGGCCCGCCGTCCTCCTGGGCAGCATAGATGGAGAACCATCCCATCTTAGAGAAAGTTCTGTCTGGCAATAGCAGCCTCATGTGAATATGTATGGGAAACGCAATGTGAGTTTCCTGTAAAAGCTGGTCACGTTAAAACGAATGGGGTCTGAGGTTAGAAAAGCAGAGTTAACCAGAACTGGTTTTTACATTAGTCTGAGAGAGACGGCCCAGCCAAAGTCATCGAATGTGAAAAGTTTGTTCTTTAATGTTCTGAACCTCGAACCCCAAGTCCTCCAGCAGCCTGCAGCCTGCACAAGGTGTCGGAGGCGACCGCTGAGTCTCCCCTTTGTTTTTATCCCAGATTGTCCGATTAGACCGAACGATGGAACAGATTGTCTTCCCAGTACCCAGCATATGTGAATTCCTAACCAAGGAGTCAAAACTGCGAATATACTACACCACGGAGCGGGACGAGCAGGGTAGCAAGATCAATGACTTCTTCCTGCGCTCGGAAGACCTCTTCAACGAAATGAACTGGCAGAAGAAGCTGCGAGGTAGGTCCCAGTGCGGGGGACTTGCTCCTAAGAGGTGTGGTCCTGGGCGTCTCATGGACTCGAGCTGGGGGGTGCCTCTGCCTCCCAAGAGAAGCCACGTGGGGGTCATCTGTGTGCTTTCCCGGAGGCCAGTGGCCCTTCAGTAGCTGATAAATGGGGCCAAGCCTCAGTGTGGCAGTTCCCCAGAGAGGCTTCCTTCATGCAGCATCTGTCCTGACCGGATGTGTGGCAGTTCCATGGATGACTTAGAATGCCCTTTTTTGTTGTAATCTCCATGTCAGAAATAGAGGTGGGGCATGGTGTAATCCCAGAAACCCAAGAGGCTCAGGCAGGAGGAATGCAAGTTTGAGGCCAGCTGCAGCAACTTAGGGAGGCCCTAACCCACTCAGCAAGACCCTGTGTCAGAATTAAAAAGGAGCTGGGGATGTCGCTCAGTGGTTCAAGCATCCCTGGGTTCAATCCCTGGCACCAAATAAATAAATAAATAAATAAAGAGGGCGATGAAAGACCAGGCCCTTGAGCGCCCAGGATGGTTCAGTGGGCAGGAAGTGCACTCGGCCTGATTGCTCATTTACTAGTTCACCTGCTCTGGAGACTCCCATGTTTCCCCTCATACCGAGGAGCTCAGGTTTGAGGCTCTAAATCATTTTATGGGCAGTAGAATAACTTTTTATGTACGACACATTCTTGCCCTCCAGCGAGTCCCGTGGAGAGGCCCAGGCAGGCCTGGCTGAAATGACTCATGGTAGGCACCTTTATAGGGCTTCCGCAGGGGGCTCCCCTGCTCCTGTTTTTCATTAGGGGTTTAATGTGGTCCTTCAGCCCCAACGACAAGCTTGGCACCAGCTGTTGTGGCCAACTTAAAAAGGATCATGTTTTATTTCTGTCTGTCAGGAGCCAGGCTTTTATTTGAAACACTGAAGTCCAGCTACCACTGTGATCTTCTTGGCTCTTTCTATGGGGTGCAACTAGGTTTGGGGAGAGATGTGTCATAGGTCAGTTTCGGGGAACTCTCATCCTCTCCCTGATCCCTGCTAATCTGAGGACCAGACGTGCCTCCTCTGCTGCTGCTTTGCTTCTCTCCTCACCCACCTGCATCCTTAGCTTTGCTAGTGACAAAGAAGGTTGTCCAAGCAGATTGGCCAAAAGGTCCTATTCCCACCTCACCCCATCCCTATTCCATTCTCTCCYGTCCCTAAGGGGCATCTTAAAACATTCTGGGCCACACCATCCTGTACCCACATGTCTCGAGTCTGACCCAGGGAGCAAGGGCTCACAGCAGCAAGCATGGGTATCCTCCTTGGTACAGACCTCAGAGGATGCAGGCACGATTCTACCACTGCCTGTCCTTGGAGCCTCCTGTGGATTCCTCCGACACTCTTCCAATTCGGGCATCACGGTGAACACTGGCACTCCTGATAGCACCATGCTGGGCTGTAAGAAAGAGATGCCCCTGCCACAAGGAGGAGAAAAGCCCCATCTGCCTCGGGTTCACCTTTCTAGTTCTGTGCTAGAGAGAGGAGAGAACTGCTTTGTGGCTTCTGCCTGTCAGCGCGATGTTCCACAGTCGCAGCTTTAGGGAATGGTCCCAATTTCATGCCTCCAAACCTTATCAATTAATTTTATGCTTATCAGTGAATGTGGCTGCTGAGTGGATCAGATACATTTCTTCTCCCAGAATTGTTCGTCAATCCATATATATATAGGGGGTGTACGTGTGTCTATCTAAAAATCTGGTAAACCAACAGAGACCTTTCTGTTACGGTGTCTCACGTCGCTCTTTCTGAGATGGTGTCTCCAGCTGGGGAGATTGGGGGGACCTCAGTCCCAAGGAGGAGGATGTCAGTTCCATTCTCTCTCTGCCACCCCCCCAGCTCTGTGGCCCCCAGCAGGTGGATTAACTGCTCCCAGACCTTCATCCATAAGTCGAGGAGCAGGATGACCTCTTGGACAACTTTTATTCCAGAATGGCCATCTCGGCATTCCCAGATTCATAACACAGTGTCACTCCTGCCTTCCTTTATTTTCAGTCTTTCTGTTTTTGGAAAACAGTTTTTGTTTCTGTGAAGCTTAAACACAAGTATAGTTGTCAACTGGAAGATTTTAATTGGCTTCAAAGCAATCCTCTGGTAAGAGAGAAATTGAAAATAATAACTGAATTAAACATGATTTGCATATCTAGGGAGGGGAGAAGTATACTCATTAGAAGTGCAGTGAAGTTGAAATGCATTCTCCCCTTCCAAGGGTCTATCTTCTCTTCTAGTAATTCTGCAGAAGAGGTCTTTTCTGGCTTACTCACATGGCAGCTCAGCTTTACCTTTTACTGAACGTCACCTGTGCTTTGGGACATCTGTAGCTGAGACTCCACTGTTAACGTTGCTTAGTGTTTTCTTCTGCAAGAACTGAGACACCCAGTTAGATGCTCTGCCCTGTAGAAACCCTGTTCTCTGCTTTGCTTACCCAGCACATGCAGCAGGCACGCAGGCACACACACCCTTCTCCCACCTGCATCCTGCCTCTGCCTCCCGCTCTGACATCCTTTCCTGAAGGTCACAGCTCTGGTGAAGTCCAGACTGGGCTGTGAAAACTAGAAGAGGAAACTGAGATAGAGTTGCACATGCTGACGCCTGTGCCCTGTGACTGTCATTCTGATGGGCACAGAGCTGGGAAATGCTGCTTATACACATACATGTGGAATCCAGGTCAGCTAGCAAAGCCCAGTTCCTTTARGCAAAAGGCTAGGAAAGAGTGTCACCAAAACATGTCCTAGGTATAGTGAGTCAAATCACTCGCCCATCTGGGGTCATGGCATCCCACTGTCTTGCTGGACATGGCAGGATGTTGTTGATCTAGGCAACTTTTAGCCCCAAGGACATAGAAAACATGCTGCAGGTTACAGTGGAGAACCCAACATGCGAAGGTTGTGGCTCCTTCCTCTGGAAGGGGGCAGACAACACAGGCATATTTTAAGTGGCTACATACCAAGCTGATTATGATTAGGCCTGTAATCAGGCAGTGGCAGGTTATGTGAATATGGGAAAGGAAGACTTGGGAGGACAGGTGGGACCGGAATAGCATCTAGATGGGAAGAGGGGACTTAGCACAGCCAGAGAGCCTGCAAGAGGGGGAGATGTATCTGTCTTCTCTTGCTGCTGAAACCACTGGCCACGAATTCTGGTGCCTACAACACCATTCTCACCAGCCTGATATCAAATTGGTAGAGCCATGGCTGCCTGAGGTCCTGGGCTTTTGTCCCCTCCCTCCCCAAAGCCCAGAGTGTCTAGCAGAACCCTTCTTGTGTTGCATGGCTTTGGCTCTGAGATTCCTGCTTCCGTCTTTCACATGCAAGGACTTGCAAGTCCTTTCTGTCATGTAAGGTAAGACAGTCACAGGCCCTGAGGATTAGGATAGGGACATTTAGGGCCCATCATTTTGCCTACTCTAGAATGCATGTTCATTGCGTTTCGTCACTGTGTACCAAGTTACCCACCAAATTTTAGTGGCTTGAAAAAGTAAATATTGATTTTTCTCACTGCTTTCTGGGGTCAGGAATTTGGGGGGATGGTTCTGACTCAGAGTGTTTCAACTGAGACCCCAACCAGGGCCACCATCTGYGCATTTGCCTGGACTGGAACATCCACCTGTTGTTAGCTCACCCAGGTGGCTGTTGGCAGGGGCCTCAGTTCCTCTGCACATGGGCCTCTGGGTGAATCTGCTGCAAGTCCTCACAACCCAGCAGAGCCAATGGCCGAGTCCAGAGAGTGAGGAAGGCCACAGAGCCCTTTGTGACTACCCTTAGAAGTCAGGCGCCAGCAGTTGTGCTGTGTTCTGTTTATTAGAAGTGAGTTGCTGGCCCCACACACACTCGGGAGGGGAATTTAGCCATACCTTGTGAAAGGAGGAGTATCAGAGACCTTGTGGACATGGTTTTAGATCCTCACAAAGAGCACAGGGAGCCCTGAGGGACAGCACCTGTATAGACAGAACCATCACCAGACTGGGATGCAGAGGAGAGGGAAGGGAAGAGGGAGAGGGTCCAGGCAGGTGGATGGAATACTGTTCCACGTGCCCCAGGAAATAAGAGATGGCACCTCCAGGTGGGTCTCCAAGTACCTTCTTGCTCTTGGATTAATGCCACTTGGTTTAAAGGGCTGAATGTTTGTTCAGATTCAAAATGGTAGTACAATTTAAGTAGAATGCTAGTTTTATAAAAGTAAGATGTACTTGTGAACTGCACATTTCTCAAGGTTGTACTGAGGTATCCTACAACAGACACTCATATTGGCTCTCTGACCATCCTGGGCTTTGCTGGCTCTTTCCCCAACCCCCCAACTTACCATCTGCTTTTGGTACATCCACGATGGGGAGAGATGCTGCGAATCTGTGCCTGTTCCTTAGCCTCAGCACCTCCTTACCATTCATCTCTTCCCTCCAGTTCTGGAGTTTTCGTATCTAGATCAGAAAGGGGGCAWCAGCCCCAAAAGAATCGCAGTTGCTTTTGTTTTCAAAGCCAGATGATCTATCTTCTCAAGTTCGCTTCCTCAAGATGAATTATTACCCAGTGATTGGCCGGATCCTGGTCGGCCTCTCTGGAGTGGTCACACAAGCCATTTACCTTTATCCCCGGCACTGACCCCAGAGCATCGATCCCCTGGGTGATGGCATTGCCACATCCTCCACRCATTGCTGGGCATTTCCTTGTGTGTAAAATGAGGCCTCTTAATCTGAAGGCTGGGTTGCGGCTCTGCAGTTAGGAAACAGTGCCTCTTACCAAGTACAGACCTGCTGTGAGCGATTGTTAAGCACCCAGGGATCTGTCTGTTTGGACCCTAACTTAGTTCAGAAGGGAAGCTTCCAAAGGCTTGGCAGYTGCAAGTATCATTATAGGTCCATAGGGTTTGTCATTGGCCTCTGTGCTAAAGTTAAATGATGACTTCACTGGGGAAGGAGGAAAAAAAAAAAAAAAAAAGCATGTGAGGGACCCCTGCCCACATGCTCCGTTGTCTCTGGGGAGGCTGATGTTGAGTGAGATGCTAGTGCTACACTGAAATCAGCTCTACCCTGGCACCAATGGAAAAGGTGCCCTGGAGCTGCCGAGTATGGTCATAGCCTTGTTATTCYGAGAATATCCAGCCCACGTGGTGTCACCATAGGGCACAATGGATTGAGAAGGCAGTGGTTTCCACAGGGTGCCTTGCCCCTGTGTGACACATGGTGCCACACCCTTTCTCTCCTGGAGCCGCTGGGAACGTGGACTCCAAGCTGACCACCCAGTCGGCAGCCTGTGTTCCTGCTTCCCCGGCCCCCTGAGAGTGACCATCAGGCTTCAGGGAAGTGGCAAGTGACTCAGTGTTGGAAAGAGGATTGTTGTTTTGCTGTGGGGCATTAAGAGCCAGGAGGGATGTGAAAAGGGGACCAGTCCTTGTTTGAGGCCCAACTGGACCAACTCTGAGCGCTGTGTCTCCCCAACATTTCTAGAGACCTAATTGAATTCTTGGGTCTCTCTGGGCATCTCATCCAGTCCCAGCAGCCCGAGGGGAACCAGGCCCTCCGTGCATGAACCCTGGATGACCCCCAGCCCCTGCAGCTGGTGCTGTTGACTGGGGCACGCAGAGCTTTCAGATGTCCCAACTTGTCTCCTCCTCCTCTTCAGTGTCCCCCAATAGGCCTTCTGTTCCCGATTTCTCCAAACAGAAATGAACCCATGAACCGATGAGATGTCACTGTGTGCCAATTTGGAAACAAATGATCGTTTTTACTGTTGAGAAGGAAACCAGTGGCACAAGTGGACTTGGGGGGACGGAGGGGAGGAGGGGCTGTGGAGTTCCAGCTCTCTGACGTGGCCTCTGCCCTCCCACAGCCCAGCCTGTCCTCTACTGGTGTGCCCGCAACATGTCCTTCTGGAGCAGCATCTCCTTCAACCTGGCCGTCCTGATGAACCTGCTCGTGGCCTTCTTCTACCCATTTAAAGGAGTGCGAGGAGGTACCRATGGCTTAAATTTTGAAAAAATGAGTAGATGCAACTGGACAGCTGTGACCTACACCTTTAGTACTGTCCCTGGAAGCATTTATGCCATGTTTAGRATCGCAGGTCCCCATTTTCAGGCAAGAATGAGATGGTAGCTTTTAGTTTTAAGTCTAACTTAAAATAATTTAAATATTCTATTACTATGTATGTGTATTTTAGCCAAGAAAGAAAGAGAAGGAGTTATTGAACTTGAAATATCATCTTAACCCCATTTTTTTGTTATGTTTTGGTTTTGGGTACTGAGGATTGAACCCAGAGGCACTCCACCACTGAACCACATCCCTAGTCCTTTTTTTTTTTTTTTTTTATTTTGAGACGTGGCCTTGCTCAGGTGCTGAGATTGGCCTCTAACTGGCAATCCTCCTACTTCAGCCTCCCGAGTTGCTGGGATTACAGGTGTGGCCACTGAGCCGAGCAGCATTTTTCTTTTAAATGCTATTTCAGGAAGCATGAGCACCCATGTCTGAAAAGATCTGATAGGAACACAGGGCTGCAAGCTATTTTCTGAGGGGTGTCTGCCCTCACTAAGCTGCCAGGTGGCAGRGGTGTGAACAGGAGAGGGTTCAGTGGAGGACTCCATTGGCTGTGATGGAGGCACCGACACCTGCTCTTCAAAACAGGTTATTTAGCCACTGCCTTGATCATGTTTGTATTTACCTTTGATTTAAAAAAAAAAAATGTTTCAAAGAGGTTTTTATTACTCACCGTGACCATTTTCTTCTCTGGTTATTTGTGGCAGCACTCAGGCCAGCATCTAGGGACAGTGGGTTGACAGGCCTCACCTTTCAGTGTTAAGCTTTCTACAGTGGAATTCGTGGTCAAAGAAGTCCAGAGACTTAGCACCCAGGCCTGGCTCTGCCATTCCACCTCTGGGCAGGCCACTTCCTTGGCTCCTGGTCATGTGCCTCTGCATTTCTGGATACTGACACCAAGCTAGAGGCTGGGAGACTTGAGTGTGGCTGTTGAACTTCCTGCAGAATTCAGGGAAAACTAGCAACCTAGTCAGGGTTCCCTGGAGCCTCCTGCTTCTTTCCCATCAAATTTGAGACCCACTGGATRAGCTAATTGCTGAGGATCCTTCTAACTCTAACATGGTGCCCTCTGAGTTGGCATCTTAAAAACCCATGGGAGACGAGGCTTCCTGTTTGGAAAACATGGGCTTCAGGATTTCATGGGGTGGGCATGTGGGATAGCAGGACCAGATCTCCTGGGAGGGAAGGGAGGCCAGTGTGACCTAAGGGGGCCCTTTCTGTCCTTCCACCATATGGTGACTGAAGTTACCTAAAGCCCATCGGTTCACCCTCAGATTATTTTTTCCTTTTGTAACATGTGTTGAATGCATTTGCTATACTTAACCAGTAAACCTCTGGAGGAGAAAGCTTCTATTAACCCTGATTAGAAATAACATCTGGTCCATTGACCTGAAAATATTTTTTTGAGATCCATATCTGTTAGGGGCCAGAGTTACAGCTCAGTGTAGACCACTTGCCCACATGCACAGGTCTCTGTTTCTATCCCCACTGCCACAAAACACACACACACACACACACACACACACACACACACACACACGGATTTTTGGCATCTTAAGAATTTCCAAGATGTCCCTCTTGGTTGTGAATAATGACCTTATAGTGCGTACCATGTGATTCTGTGGCTCATCAGACATGGCTGCCAAGAACAGCAGTGGCCTTAAAAGCTCCTTTTCAAAAGTATCATCTCCCCAGCCCCCTCCATCCCCTTTCATTTCAGAATTGGTGAGTTGTCGGGGCTGGGGATGTACCTCAGTTGTTAGAGTGCTTGCCTCGTATGCACAAGGCCCTGGGTTCAATCCCCAACACAACAAAACAACAACAACAAAAATCAGAATTGGTGAGTAGCTAAGTCTTTAAAAAGCGTGATACTYGGGCAGGCTCAGATGTTTCCTGAATTTGTAGGCATGCATCATGATTAAAGCAAATGCAGTACTACTTTTTAAACTTTTTTATGTGGAAGTTTTCTAATACACACATGAGTAGGCAGCACAATATAATGACCCACATGTACGTATCAGCCCAGCTTTAAAAATAAACATTTTCCCAGTCTTGTTTCATCTATCCCCCTGCTATATTTTCTGAAACATTTTAAAGAAGTTTAGACATCTTGTTGTTTTGACCATAAATATTTCAGTGTGCCTCTCTAACTTATAAGCATATTTTAAAATCTGTATAATCACCATGTCATTATCATATCTAACAGAACTAACAGTAAATCCTGTAATAGTCTGTCCAAATTCAGATTTCTCCAGCTGTCTCAAAGATATCTAGAAATTCTAGAGTTGCTTTTTGGAATCCAGCACTCTTTTTTAACACGGCTTTTATAGTGTGGAGACAGGTTTTTACATTGGCCTCTTCAGGATCTRCATATATGGTTATATTTATTAGACTGAGATATTAAGTGGTGTTCATGCGCTTAAGAAAATGCAAGGTAAGCCAGACATTGGGAGAAAAACACTTAGAAAACAGGTATCTGATTAGAGACTTATATCCACAACATATGAAGATTCCTTAAAACTTAATAATATAAAGCCTGCCCCATTTACAATAATGGGCAAAGTATCTGGTCAGAGAGTTCATAAAAGAAGATAMATAGGATCGGGGGTACATAGCTCAGTGGTAGGACTCTTTCCTATCCACGTGCAGGGCCCTGGACTGGATCCTCAGCACTGTAAATAATAATAATAACAACAACATCAACATACATACATACAAATAAGCACGTGAAAAGACATTCATCATTACTAGTTGTTAGGGAAATGCAAATTAAAACCAATGAGGGCTGGGGTTGTGGCTCAGTGGTGGAGTGCTTGCCTAGTATGTGTGAGGCACTAGGTTCAATTCTTAGCCCTGCATGTAAATAAATAAACAAATAAAGATCCATCAATGACTAGTAAAAATATTAAAAACAAAAGAAAACACAGGGGCTGGGTTTGTGGCTCAGCGGTAGAGTGCTTGCCTAGCATGCATGAGGCACTGGGTTCCATCCTCAGAACCACATAAATGTAGAATAAAGATATTGTGTCCACCTAACTAAAAAATAAATATTAAAGAAAAAAAGACATTTAAACACACACACACATACACACACACAATGACACATCACTGCAAATCTACTAGAATGGGTGAACTAAAAAGACCAACAATACCAAGTACCGGTGATGACATGGGACCAGCAGAACACTCATATGCCATATGCTGATATGCACGGTCACTTGGGAAAGCAGTATGATAGTATCTTATAAAATTACACCTATACTTAAAACCCAGCAGTCTCCTTCCTCACCTTAGTCCAAGAGAAATGGAAACATACCTGCTCCAAGATTTTCACTTGAATGTTCTGGTTACATTATTCATAACAGCTCCAAGCTGGAAGTAACCCACATATCCTTTCATTGTTGGATGGATGGATAGGTAAGTTATAGCGTATCCATTCTATGGAATATTACTGAGCAATAAAAATAATGAAATATCAGTAGAGTCACCTGACTCAAACAAGTTTAATAGGTGAAAGAATTCAGATGCATAAGACTACCTACTTGTGWACTTTCCCCCCATTTTTATAAAATTTTAGAAAATGAAAGACTAGCATAGCAGAAGAGCACATYAGTGAGAGGGGTTGGGGCAAAACATGGAAAGCAGAGAGGTACAAGGAAACTTTAGGGTGATGATATTTTGTATCTCAATTGTGGGGCCAGTTTCAACTGGCATGGCTACATACACTGCCAAGACTCACCAAATCCAACCTTTAAATTGGGTGATTTTTTTTTTCTTTTGACACTGGGGCTTGAACCCAGGGGTGCTTAACCACTGAACCGCATCCCCAGCAATTTTTATTTTTTTAATTTTGAGAAAGGGTCTCGCTAAGTTGCCTAGGGCCTCACTAAGTTGCTCAGCTGGCCTTAGACTTGCAATCCTTCTGCCTTAGCCTCCAAAGTTGCTGGGACCACAGGCATGTGCCACTGTACCTGGCATGGGTAGATTTTTTTATTTAAATGATGATTACACACCATCAACTTTAGAGACATGTAAACTCCAGCCATTCACACTCTCTCTTTGGACAAATATGTAACCCAAGATTCAGTTTCCTTCAGAGTAAAATAGAGAGCTAGAGATGTGGCTCAACAGCGGAGCTCTTGTCTAGCACGCACAAAGCCCTGGGTTCCATCCCCAGCACTGCAAAAAAAAAAGAAGTAGAGCTACCAGTAGCAACCTCACAGCATAGTCGAGAGGACAGATTAAATGACAGTCAACAACAGAGGGCCAATAAGATGTTCAGTAATTGTTAAATGTGCACAGAGTGACACTTTGGATTTCTGAAGAGCTTGTGACTCTTCGTGCTCATTTCTAATCAGCTTTTCCTTTTGAAGAATGTTAAGGGGCTGGGAGCTAAGTGGCTGGGTCTGGGGGAAGAGCTGTGGGGGGAGAGAGTGCATCTGTGCAGGCATCTGTGGCCTCAGTGCAGAGGGCGGCCAGCAGCTTGTGGAAGAGCCGGAGTCTGTGTACTGGTCTCTCCGTGGACGGTGCTGCAATCCCAGCCGTCCTGACGATGTGAAACCCCTTTATATAAGTGGCCTTAATCGTGTATTGCTGCTTGTTTACATCCGAAGGAGACTCAAGATGTGACAGCATTTGCAATAGGGGTGTTTTATTTTTTTTTAATGAGTGTTTTACAGAACTGTATTTTTAGCCACATTGGCTCGTGTTATATAACCAAGCCATCTCGTGGGACACTCTAAATAGAACTTGCAATAGCAAGAGATGACAAAAAGTGGTAGAGGCTCTTTGACTGCAGGGATAATCTAATTGTAGGATGATGCTCATGATACGGAAATTGTCTTCCTCTTTCCCTTGAAGAAATCCGATTCAGGCAGGGGACCTGCAGTGTTCCTTTGCATCACTTTTAATAGAAAGTAAGCTCAGGCTTCCTGGTCCTGCCTGAGAGTGAGTCGGGACCCAGGTATGAGTTGTAGTCACTGAACAAGCCTTTGGTGGGGGCCTCCTGGCACCAGGCACTTCCTTCAGGGAATGTAGAGTCTGAAGAGTGAGAGAAACACACATTGATCATTAGAATGTAACGTCTGCAGGGATGACCAGAGTGTGGGGGGATGTGGAGCTGGAGGGAACAGCTGGATTGTAAATTCTGCAAGGAGGGAAGGGGTGGGGGAGACTTCCCAGAAGGGGTCACCTCTCAGCTAAACCTACCATACATAGGAAGAAAGAGTTCCCCACGTGGGGAAAAACGTGTGGTGATGGCTGGGAAGTCTGAAAACACAGATGTGACCGCATGTATCTGTGGCAGAGAGTTTGAGGTGACAGCTGGAACAGACAAGGCTAGCAGGGAACTGAAGAAAACGTTAGCAGAGCTGCCTTGACCTTTGCCCACACTCCAGGAAAGCACTGATCCCTGAGAGCCCTGCTCTGCCCTCCAGGGACGCTGGAGCCACACTGGTCAGGCCTCCTATGGACAGCAATGCTCATCTCCCTGGCCATCGTCATTGCCCTACCCAAGCCCCACGGCATCCGGGCCTTGATTGCTTCCACAATTCTACGATTGATATTTTCGGTCGGGCTGCAACCCACATTGTTTCTGCTGGGAGCGTTCAACGTAAGTATGAGTGTCCTGGTTGCTGCTGTTTTCTGTTTGTGGGTTAACGCCTTCCGTTCTGGTGCCTGGCATCTTAGCCTGAGCTTTCAATCCAAGAAAAAGAAAGATTTTGCCTATGTCAGCTGCTAAAAGAGCAGAAGGACTGGGTACAGTGGAGCACACCTGTCATCCCAGTGACTCCGGAGGCCGAGGCAGGAGGATCATAAGTTCAGAACCAGCCTCAGCAAATAGGCAAGACCCAATCTCAAAGAAAAAAAAAAAGTGGGGTGAGGGGGATTGGGGATGTGGCTCAGTAGTAAAACACCTCTGGGTTTAGTCCCCCATTATAAAAAATAAAACAACAAAAGGAAGAGATGGTCACGGCCGCACACTCCCTCTTGGCCTTCTTGGGGCATTCRAGCCTCCTGGTGCATCATCCAGGCRTCGACAGGCTCAACTATAGGAACTATCCCTCCCGGGAGTGAGGCAGATAGGGTGATACATGATGAGATTTCAGGTAGCTTCAGCAATCTAGCCAAAGGTTTGCCCATAAGTCAAACAAGCAGATATTAACCCAGCACCATTTCTGGCGGGAGCCATGTAGAAAAGAGGAGAGAGGTGAATGGGAGTGTCCAGAGCTGGTGGAGCAGCTGGAGAGGTAAGAAGAGCACCAGGGACAGTTAGTGAGTCGGTGGTGCTGGGGGAAATGCTGCCTTGGTACGCTGGAGAGAAGTCCAGTGCCTCTTCAGGAGCAATCGGGAGGTGGAGGTAAATGATGTCAATCCATTCATGGGACAGGGTGTCTGGTGAGGGGAAAGATGAAATTTGGCCATGTGAGATACTGTCGGTGTCTGAAAGTACCGTCCAGAGTTTTGTATCCCGAGTGTATAAGGAAGCTGAGGTCCCTGTGCAACAGTGGAGGTGGTTTTACCAAATAAGGTAACCATGTCCCCAACTGGGTCTTTTTATGGCGCAGGCAGCAAGRACTCTGGAGAGGAGACCATGTCGAGAAGATAAGCTTAGTGGGAGGAAGCAGGGTTAAGTTGTGTCTTGAAGGGCACAGCCAGAGAACAGGAACCGAGAAGAGCATTCTGGTTGTCGTAGGCCTCGTTGGCCAGCGCAGAGCAGCGAGGACACCTGGGTGTGAGCCAGAGATCGTTAGAGATTGAGGCGGACCTCATTCGTGGTTGTGTGTATGAGTTGCCTTTAGGAAGAAGCTTTTAGACTTCATCCTAAGGTCCACATTTCTAAAGTATAACCTGACTTGATAAATGTTGGGTCAAAACAACAAAAAAAAAGTGGTCAAGTCATTGTGAGAAATTAAACAAAATTGAAGGATATCTCTGACCAGAGGACTTTTCAGAGACTTTAGTATACTTATATGGATTTTGAGTCTCCAGGAAAGGGAACTCACATATTCGTGTTTCCCACGTTTGYCTGTGATTGTTTCTGTTGTTGTTGTTTTTAAGTATTACTGGGGACTGGTTTTGCATTGAGTAGATGTTGGGAAACTCTGTTCCTATTGGTGAGAAGTGTTTTTGAGCCAAGCCATTGGTACACACGAAGGTATTTTTCAGAAAGGTCRTCATTGGTGTGTGGACTCCGGAGGCAGGGAGGCCCTGGGGTGATTTTGATCAGGTGTGGCCAGCCTGAGCCCAGATCGTAGTGTACAGTATACACTGATGGAAAGAGTCCTGGGTGGGGCTTCAGAGTCAGGGCATTCCCCCACCGAGGTGCAGCTGGGTCCTCTTCTTCAGGACAAGAAGGCATTGTGTGACAGAGGAGACCAATAGGACTTCAGGTTTCCAGTCATGGGTGACTAAGAGAAGAATAACACTGGGTAAATGCTAAAAGGAAGTCATGAAAATATTGAGTTTTCATGGTGAAAACATATTCATATTGGTGACTTATTGGGCTTGAGATGACAAGATGTGCTAATACTGTCAACTGTCACATATGGAAAAGCCTGGCCAGAAGTGGCAGAGAGATGTTGCTGGGGAGGGGGATCACCAACAGCAAGAGGAAGCTATTGATGAAGACATACTGGATGGGTGGGTGTGTCGATAGATGGATGGAAAGGAAAACCTCAGTGTCTTAGAGGTCGTCTTCTCTGGACTGCCTCATTCTCTTTTACTCTAGACTTTAATCATCCTGTGGTCATCACTTCTTTAACGTAAATCGCTTATGGGAAAGTCTCAAATTAGACAATTTTCTTGTGTAATAATAATTGCTAGAGGGGGAAAGGGCCAGACAGTTATTAATATTTAGATGAGATTTGAGAGACAGACCAACCACCAGAAGCATATGGGAGAAGGAAGATGGTTGTAGATAAAGAGAGGAGGAACGCTGGAGGTCTGAGCGCTGGGGGAGGCTGGGCTGGTGTCCTGCACGTTGAGCGTGCTGTTGTCCTGAGAGGGACGGGGTGGTGAGCCCTGCTGTGCTGTGGGGAGCTCAGACAGATGCTCAGAGCAGACAGGGGAAGAYGCAGATAGAAGATGGCAGCCTCCCTGGGGGACTTGACAAGGGCTGCTTCTGCAGCAGGGTGGAGCTGGAAGCAAACAGAAGGCCAGCCAAGCAGAGTGGGTAGGGAGTGGACAGCACGAGACCACCCATGTACAGGAGATGTTTGCTGGGTAGCAATGGAAGTTAAAGGATTGAGTGGATTCGGGGGAAGTGGATTGCTTTCCTTCCTGTTGCAATGACAGGAGCTGTTGCATCCAGTGATATTAACCAGTATCCTGGTACCCTCCCTGCCTCCTTGGACCTTCCCCAAAACCCAATCAATATGCATCATCCAGAGTYAGCAATGTGTGCCCACCCTAGGGAAGACCCTCATCAGCAAAGATGAAAATATTGGGGGGAAAATAACAGGCAGATTGCACATCGGAGCCYCAGAAAGCCAGAAGTTCTCTTTGGGTACTGCCTCTCTGATTGCTGAGAGGCTCTGTTACACTGACCTGCCAGGTTAACTGGCAGAATTTTCCCAGCACCTGAGGCCAGGGGAGCTGGGGTAGCAGAAAGTGGCTTTACCAAGGGTGTCCAAGGTGCTTTCTGTCCAGCCTCCTCCAATTCAAGTTTTTCTATCAACCTTTGAAGCGATGGACTTCTAGTAGTGTAGCAGCAAAGGTGGGACTGTTGTACAGAGCAGATCAGTTAGGACTCCTTCAGTTACAGGTACCAGAAAGTCTATGCAGAGGAGACAATGGATTGGTTGTTTTGACCAAAAAAAAAAAAAAAAAATCAAGAGCCTGGCTTCAGGCATAGCTGATTGTAGGATCTCAGACAGTGGCATCAGGGCCTGTTGCTCTGTCCCTTCTTTCAGATCTGTGTCCTGTGTACTGGTTGTGCTCTCTGGATCTGTGGTATGGTAAGAGGCTGCCAAAAGCTCCAGAGGTTATTCTGTCTTATTAAGATCAAGGGGAGAGACAAAATTGTCTTGTACTGCTATGCCCGGGAAGGGCTCAGTAGACTTTATTGGCTCCCTTTGATCACGTGCCTATCCCTGAACAATGCAGTAGCACAATCCCAGAAGATTCCAGTATTCTGATTGCTCAGGGTGGAGCCCCACCCAGACCTCAAGAACCGATTCCTGGAAAGGGATGGATCCCCCAGGGAAATTACAAGTGATTCCCAGAAGAAGGGGTGGGGAAACTGAACTCATCTTGACATTCTTTATTTGCTTTCCCCCCAAAGTTCTTATTTTCCCTATAAATTTAGAAGCACTGAAAGACAAGAATTGCCTGCTTCTCATTAAATTGCAACCCTATAATGCCTAGAATGTAACAAATTCAGAAAACACTTCTAATCATGCTGATCATGAAGTTCGCGGGTAGAGGTKACTTCTGTGTTTGACTAACTCACGTAAGAATGTTAGAAATGATTCATATCTCATTTTGAAAATCATAATCTCAGTATGTGTTAATTTTGTTTTTGCCATATACAAATGCTACTTGATTACCGTTGCACATGACATCGTTTGACTACTGTGCAATTTGTAATATGCCTGAAAAAGCAAAGTAGTGAAGTGRCTTGGAACTACAGAATGGTTCTTGGACACGGTGGGCACTTGGCACCAAAGCAAGCYCTTGTCAGGCGGTGGAACCTAACTGCATTCGCATGAGAATCTCCCTGGGCTCACACACACACTTTGGCATGGTCTGTGCCATCTGACTCTTCTGTCCTGGTTCTCAGGTCTGCAATAAAATCATCTTTCTAATGAGCTTTGTGGGCAACTGTGGGACGTTCACCAGAGGCTACCGAGCCATGGTTCTAGATGTCGAGTTCCTGTATCACCTGCTGTATCTGTTGATCTGTGCCATGGGACTCTTCGTCCATGAATTCTTCTACAGTTTGCTGGTGAGTACCAGGTGTTAAGATGCTTTACGTGTCCTATGCCCCCTCTCATCAGAGACCCTTCCTTGTAATGGCRACTGATGTGCCTGGTCCTGCAAGGTCAAGCCCCCCCTATACCCAGCKTTTGGGGAATCTGAGGTGCAGAGTCACACTGTGCTCTAGGCACGGCACACCTGTCACCTGGCACCAATGTACGAGGCTTACTGTCTGATTCAGGAGCTGTCCCCTCAACATACATCTTGGTTTCTCAGGGTGAGCCAGCACCTACTGAGGACAATATTCATGAGCCTGTCCTGTGCAGTCTTTGTGGGAYCCATTTCTCAATGAACTATGCAGTGACCATAAGAGTAGGAATGACTTGCCAAGGCCCAGGAGATATTTTCAGTAGAAGTTCTTTTTGTTCCAACTGCACCACGTGGTTAAGGTCTATCATGTGAGTGGTTCTGTCTCCTTTCTTCTGAGCAGGTTTTTTTTTAAATTACGGATCACATAACTGCTTCCTGTCCTGTAGTTAAGAGTAACCTAGATCTGTAGAATTGGGGAAGAGAACCATCTCCTGGGCCTGTCTCACATGACAGAAACTGTAAAATGACTATTATACACACCAGTTCTAGTAACATGTATATAAAAATGATCAAGGCCTCGTACTGATGAACAGAAGGAAAGTTCTGCAAGGAGGTGCTACCCATGGGACTCTGTGCCTCAGATTCCCCACCTAGGTGTGAGAAGCATACATCCCACAGGACCTTGGCAGGGATTATGTGCCACTGTTCATGTCCACGTCATAGAACAGCACAGCCCGAGGGTCACTAGCCACAGATGGCTCTGTCCCCTTCCCATCCACCGCGCCATGAAGAGTTCGCCAGGATTAGCTTACTCCATTAGTGATGGATGTTGGTGGGCTAAATGGAATGGATCCTTTTTTTCTCATTTTAAAACAGGTCTGGCTGTGATCAGGTTTTGGGCAAAGAGGTCTCGGGCTGCCCTTGTTATTGCCATTACCTGGTCTGTATCAAAAATATTTAGAGCCTTGTGTCCATTTCTGAGCCTTTTTGTATCATGCAATAATGTTCCTGGAGGGAGATTCAGCTTGTGTGTCAAGGAGACCCACATCTGCCAATCCAAAAATCATCCTGTCCTGCCTGCCAGTGGCAGGAGCACAGCTGGTCGTCTCTCATGTCCCTGCTAAGGGATCTCTCCCAAGAGGCAAGAGATCCCCTTTAGGAAATTCTGGGGAATGATGCTGGTCAAATCGTATCATTATACTGTGTGCATGTATGGATATATAAATACAAATCCCACCAGTACGTAAAACCCAAATGAACCAATTTTAAAATATAGGAGAAAAGAAATTGAGGCTTGGCAAGATCAGGTGGATTTTGTCACCCAATCAGTCAGTGGCAGACACAGGATGGCACCTCAACACTGTAGATCCCCAAGTCTATTCCCCTTTCATTTGGAACATGTGAAAAGGTCCCTGCCTCTGTGAAACTGGAATTTCATGTTCCATTTTGCATTCATGTTATCAAATCTCACTTGTCACACAAAGTTACAGAGAAACTTGAGCTTGAGACYGTATTGCCTGAGCTCAGTTCACCTTTAGAAAAATGGAATTTGGTTTGTCTAGATGGTGACAGATAGCTCTCTGTGTGCTTCTGGGACCTTTCTAAGCCCTCTGAACCTTGAYGTGTCAGTGGCCTCAAGTGATATGTCTGTCCCTTTTGGTGTTGAAGTCAGACCTGGTGGACATACCTGGTAAGAACCACAGACAGAAGAGTGGAACTGTTCAAATGATTCCCCAAATAAGGAAAGCCAGGCACCCACAGAAGCTGGGCTTCTGTAAAGGGAGAGAGACTTGCAGCATAGAAAACCCAGCAGACTGGAAGGGAGGGGAATCCGGTGACAAATAAAGTGCCAGGAGCCCCCAAGAGACTGTCTGATTGTGACCTTGGGCCTCCATTCAAGCTAAGTCCTTAGAAAAATATTAACATCGAAGAAGAAATGTACAAAGTTCATAAGTAGGTAATTAGCCAGAGGAGCAGTCCAGATGGGCAGCAAACACAGGGAGACGTTCATCTTTACTGCTAAACCAAGATATGATGGTTAAAATGACTGCAGGTCCCACCACAGATCTTACCTGTGATGTCTGTCAGGGGTAGTTAAAAAACACTATCGTGGTTAGTACTGGTGACGCTGGGGATGACATGGGGATGATTCTTTGCTGGTGTGAGTATGCATGGATCCTGCCTGCCTGGACGGTGGTAGGCAATGTGCTTATGTTAGAACATGTGACTCCAAGTTTCCATTTCTGGAAATGAACCAAAGAGAAATAGACAAGTGTGTATAGAGGCATATACAGCATTGTTTACAACAACACATAATTTTAAAAATATTGACGACTTAAAAAAAAAGAAGATACTGGTTATTTTGTGTTTTTTTTTCCATACAAATACTAGATGATCATTTTTGACATGAAAATGCTCATTACTGCTGGGCATAAGGGATTTTGGCTATGTACCAAAAATAATATGGTATRATATTTTTCTAAAAAAAATGCATCTATTATATTTTTAAAAATGTGAGCAGGAAGTAACTTGGCAAGTGAAGGTAATCAGGTTCTCCTTTGTATAAAYAGTAAATGTTCATTGTTTTAAAATCAGAAATTCAAAAAGTTAAAAAGGGGGGGAGGTTGAAAAGTCATTTGTCCTTTCTGTGATTGGGAGCTGTGCAATTGCTATTGCTTTTGACCACGGAAAACAAGGCTCTTTTGTTATGGTGTGACGGTGTTTTYACTGGCCTCTTAGGATTGAGTTGCTAGAAAATATTTAACCAGCATTAACAGTAACGCTCAGCCTTTTGTTCCCTCCTATTGACTAAGTGCATCTTCCTCGCTTCTTTTTAAGGACCCAACTTTGCCTGGTTCTCTTGGCAGAACTAGTATTTAGAGCACAGATTGGTGTTAGAGCAGCAGAAAGGCTAATTGACCAGAAAATGACCTCAGATGATACAATTCTAAATTGGAAGGGACTCGGAGATCAGTTAGTTCAGTCCACGTATTTTTACAGGTGGGAAACTGAGGTCCAGAGACRCTAGATGGCTTGATCAACATCTCGTAACAAATGGGAAGCAGAGAGTCGGGAGCCAGACCCTTTCCACTGAATGGCTTCACGGTGACCAACAACTGCGGCAAAGGCTGGACCTTTGAGAGAGGTTTCAGCGTCAGCTCAGAGGCTGTGCTGAAAACTAGACTCCAGCCAGGCCCGATGGTGCACACCTGTGATCCCAGCTATCCAGGAGGCTGGGGCAGGAGGATCACAAATTTGAAGGGGGATGTTGGGTGTCACATGCTGAGGGCAACAAAGGGAAACCCAGAATTTAAAACTAAAAATAATAACCATATAACACACTACATTTCATGTCTAAGAGCAACCCCATAGAGCTCTCCTCCTGTAACTCCCCATCATTCCCCTGCTGCAGAGCTATAGCACAGCTCTTGGAAATCTAGCCAGGGCCTCTCAGACCTCCATGGTCCAACAGGATTCTGCACTTGTCACGAAGCCAGCTTCCTGCAAACAGTAGCTCCCTTGGCAAAGGCCAGGCYCAGACTGTAAACTGCAGGGGTCTCCCCAACCCTGGGGAGGACAGAAGGGCTGAGGCCTCCTGGTAGGTCAACACCATGACTGTCCCCGCCGTCTACTGATTATGTGACCTTGTCCCAGTCTCTTCTTCAGGAAACTGATAATTACCATGTATTGCCTTACTTGGCATGAATGCTGAGCCCTGGATACACATTGCCTGTTTACTGTCTGTAAACTGCATCCTCTGCTCTGCAAAGAGGACGGGGACAGTATYTAGCCCAAGATGGCAGTGAGGAGCTAAGATCCAAACCTATTATGGAAGCCCAAGGTCCTCACTGCTTGCAGTAGCTTGTATGATGTCTGCCTTCCCCAGCAGACACTCGGCTTCCGGAAGGCCGGGACCAAGCTGGCTGGTCCTTAATAGAAGCAGTAATTATGGCCTGAATAAATGTATCCCTTTACTCTCTGCATCATATGTGCTGGATTTCCAGGACCCCTAGCCTGCTCCATGTGCGCTGGAAATTGTTCCTACATCCTCGCCCCTCTTGCATGCTTATTTTTCCTTTTTTTTTTTTTTTTTTACCATCTCAGTTCTTGCTGTGAAAATAGGCAAGATGTGAAATGTTGGGCTGAAGTTGTAACTTAGTGGTGGAGCACTTGTCTAACACATTTGAGGCACTGGGTTCGATCCCCAGCACCACGTAAAGAAAGAAATAAATAAACAAAGGTATTATGCCCATCTAAAAAAAGATGTGAAATGTTAAGATAATGCTTTTCAGTGTCCAAGAGGGTAAATGGTCTGTAAGCCTTGCTTTCACCATGGGGTAGTGATGTGTGTGTAATATAGAGGCTTCTTAAAAATTGACGTGCCATCTCTGTGTGTGTTTTTGAAGCTGTTCGATTTAGTGTACAGAGAAGAGACTTTGCTTAATGTCATTAAAAGCGTCACCCGCAATGGACGGTCCATCATCCTGACTGCGGTTCTGGCTCTGATCCTGGTTTACCTGTTCTCGATCGTGGGCTATCTTTTCTTCAAGGACGATTTTATCTTGGAAGTAGACAGATTGCCCAATGAAACAGCTGTTCCAGGTAGGTCTGGGATCTTCTCTCTTTATCGTTACAAGGATATGTCCTGGTTATAGCTCAGCTAGAGAACAGTGCCATTGGCATCGTAGGCCTCTCTAATGCCCAGAGTGTGAGTCATGAATACAGAATTTGGTTCTCCCTTTGCCGGAAGGGGGATGTTGTGTGTCACATGCTGAGGGCAAGTGACCAGACGTTACGATCGCTCACTAATGTCCTGTTTTAAACCAGCACAGCTTTTTCCATAAAGCAGTTGGAGCATGTATGTTGAAAGCATCGAGATGTGCAGCCTCTTGACTTAGCCTAAATTCTCAGAAGTAGGTTTACTAAGGAAAACCCCTGCTGACGGTGCATGTGAAAACCTGGGAGAAGGTTCTCTGCAGTGCGAAACTGGAAACAACCTAAGTGTCAGGGGGCGTTTTCATAGATTATGGCCCATCCACTGGGTGGAGTCTCCTGCACCGAGGGTCCATTTTTATAAGGCATCTTAGAAAAATATCACAGAAGATACCATGAGAAATTATGGGATAACAAGAGTAGGACTTTTTCTTTTTTTCTTTTTTTTTTTTTGTTACTGGAGATTGAAGCCAGAGGCACTTTACCCCTGCACTGAGCCACATCCCAGCCCTTTTTAGTTTTTATTTTGAGACAGGGTCTATGTTGCTTAGGGCTACACTAAATCGCTGAGGCTGGCCTCAAGCTTGCAATCCTCCTGCCTCAGTCTCCTGAGTCACTGGGATTATAGGATTGTACCACCATGCCTAGCCTTTTTTTTTTCTTTAAGTTAAAAAATTTATATGTATCTTTTAAAATGTAAACAGATATACTATCAGATTGCTAGCAGTGGCTATCCTGGGCGCTTTTTTTTTTTAATTGTATGCAGGTTTTATAGCGAGCTGATGTTATTTTTATGTATAGCAAAAACAGAAGAGGTTTCCAGTTTTGAGAGTGAGGAACAGTACTCGGTGCCTGAGTGCTCTCTTCTCCCTCTTAACAGAGCTGCCACTGGTTAGTGAACTATGACAGGCGTTCGATCAAGCTCCTTGATCTCAGGAACAAACTGACGGTGACCCGAGAAGGCAGGAGCCTGGTTTCCTCCCTTCCAGAAGCTTTTTTTGGCATGTCATTCAGCCTCCAGTTGACATTTCGTGGCACTTGGGTTCTGAACCAACCTGGGCTGGACCTTGGCTCTCCATTGGTGCCCACTGAAACTTCCCCTGCAGTCTTGGTCTAAATCTTGCTGGAGTCTGTACATACTGTAGTGTTTGTCTGAAAGTCTCAGCTGTTTGTCTTTAAAGTCGGAGAGGTGCTATTTAAGTGCGATATTTCTAGTAAGCCTACAGGAATTGACATTTTTGGCTTTTTTCCCATCCAGATCACCAAATGRAAGTGTAAATCGCATCTCTTGCTTTGAATTTATATGCAGGACTGAAGGGTGTTATTTATGTAAAGAATTGTTTAATCAGCCGTGAATTGGGGACTTCAAACATTTTAACTGTATGCTGCCAGATTTTTCATCATGAAATTTCCTTCTCTTTCCCAGAAACCGGCGAGAGTTTGGCAGGCGAGTTTCTGTACTCTGATGTGTGCAGGGTGGAGACGGGGGAGAACTGTTCCTCTCCTGGACCCAAGCAAGGTAGGGCCCCATGTGAATCTGATGCCAAGACTATGCGGGTAATTTTGGAGGCAGAGTGCAGTAAACATGCTGCCCACAGGAAGGCTGGTGACAGCTGTAGGGGGCTCAAGGGGAAGGCAGGCCCGTGCTCACCTGATCCGAGCACCCACTATCTTCCTGTCCTGTGTTGTTCTGAGAGCCAGTAGAGGAGTAGGGGGAGCAGATCAATAGGGATCACCAGAGAGAATGCCAAGTGCTGGGAGTCAGGACAGAATACAGAAGACAGGCCCCCACACTCACACCATCAGGACCRGTGCCATCTAGTAAAACAGGGGACTCTTGAGCAGAGGGGGACAAGTGCTCCTGGTGGCGGGTGTAGGGTATGGAAAGGCGTAATAGTGGAATCCAGCAAACTTGGGGAGATGATTATGCAGAACAAGAGCAGCAAGCAACAATAGAAGCAAAGGGCCAGGTTAGGAAAGGTCTAGCTGGGCTGGGAGTTGCTGAAAGGGGCAGGAGGAGATGAGGTCTGTGTTTTAACAAGACCGTCCTCGGTGCAGCTGGAGAAGGGGACGAGGTGGGCAGCATTCTCCATAAACAGTGAGAGAGAACAACCCAGGGTAAAGCCAGTGGACCTGCTGTGCAATCTCACTAAGCCCTGCCCACAGCATTCCCATGTTTTACTGTGACCAAAGGACCTGACAAGAACAATGCAGAGGAGAGGAAGTTTATTTTGGCTCATGGTCTCAGTCCACAGACAGCCAACTCCATAGCTCTAGACTGAGGTGAGGCAAGGCGGAAGGGCATGGTGGAGGAAAGCAGCTCAGGACATGGCCCCAGGAAGGAGGGAGAGCTGCTCCACTCACCAGATACAGAATATAAACCCTGAAGGCACCCCCCCAAGGACCCACCTCCTCCAGCCACACCCCGTACACCTACARTTGCCACCCAGGTAATCCCTAGTGGGATTAATGCACTGGTTATGTTAAGGCTCTCATACCAGTTGTTTCACCTCTGAACCTTCTTGCATTGTGCCACACCTGAGCTTCAGTTGGGACACCTCACGTGCTGACCATAACAGGGAAACCTGGATCCTGTGACAGACCCTCATCTGAGAAGCAAGATGCCTGTAACCCAGAGTGGTAAACAACTTACCAGACCTCAAAAGACTTCTCTGTTCATAGGCAGGACATGGAGGGCCATCCTGACCTGGCTTGAGAAGTTAGCAGGGGGTTAAGGGGTGAGAACAGAGTGGCCCCTTTGTAAAACAGGTCTTTGACTCTTGATTCCTTCATCTGGTTCTTCCTGGCACCTGCTGGCTGCTCAGATGACATTTGGGAGCGTTATTTCAGAATCACAGTACTGCTGTTCCCCCTCATGTTTTAACTGTGTCATGACTTGCCCCACTGACAGAGCTGGTCCCTGTGGAAGAAACGGAACAGGATAAGGAGCACACGTGCGAGACGCTGCTGATGTGCATTGTCACTGTCCTGAGTCATGGGCTGCGGAGTGGGGGCGGAGTAGGAGATGTGCTCAGGAAGCCATCCAAAGAGGTAGGTGGATCCCCAGGGGAAGAAGGGCAGAGGGGGCGTGTGGGGGCAGATGGTGGTGTAAACTGAAGGCACAGAGGAAGAGCTGGGAAGGGGGAGGAGCAGCCATGCAGAAGTAGCTAGGCAAGGCTTCCCTGCTCCCTCCTTTTCTCATGTTGGGGCCACGCTGCGTGGAAAGGGCCCCCCACGTTGCCCCATTCCCTAGAATTAATGGTTGTCTCCTTCAGGCTCGAGTCTGGCCTAAAGGAGACATTTCCAGAACCCTCCTGGGTGTACCAGACAATACCTGGAGAATTCASAGTGTAGACAGACCCAGGGTATGAAAAGAGACAGTGTAACCTCCACTCCAGTTGGTGCTGGGCCCCAAGCCCTGCAGGGGACAGTGAGGGAAGCACCTAACTGCCTTGCCTCTCTTCTCCAGGAACCTCTCTTTGCTGCAAGAGTGATCTATGACCTCTTGTTCTTCTTCATGGTCATCATCATCGTCCTGAACCTTATTTTTGGTGTCATCATTGACACCTTTGCTGACCTGAGAAGTGAAAAGCAGAAGAAAGAAGAGATCTTAAAGACGACATGCTTCATCTGTGGTGAGTGGCCTCCTGGGCTCTGRACAGCCAGGTGGAGGCAGGTGGGGTCATGGTGGGCTGTGCTGGGTGCTCTGTGGGACAGTGACAATGACTATGTTCCCCAAGGAACAGGGCTGTGCTTCACCTCTGTTCTGGGAAGTATTCAGAGTGCCTACAAATTCTATGCAGCCATTGCTCCTTTATCTTTAGGAATGAAGTTCTGGGAAGCAGAAACCTGACTGCACATTATTTAAATAAAAGCATCTCAGGGTCTTTTAGGGTCGGGCTGCCTGAGCTTCCCATCATAGTGAACTAGAAGGGAGATCCTGTGTCCCCTCCAGCCCGCAGACATCTTCACTGCTGTTGGAATCAGACTGTGTGTGGAAGAGTTCAGGGCTCGGGCCCCAGACCTAGACTCTGATTAAACATCTGCCACTCACCAGCATGAAGCATGGTGCAATCACTGAGCTGCTCTGAGCCTGTTCTCCTTGTCCGTGATATGGGTGCAGCTTGCATTACTGAGGGTGGGAGAGCGCTCAGGTGAGCACCTAGCACAGACCCTGGCTTAGGCATCTGAGGCCAGGTAGCAAGCTGTGCACACAGAGGGCTTTGGCTACTGAAAAAAATCATTTTCAGTATAACAACAGGAAAATATATGCAAATGAAAACTAATCCTATAAACATAGGAACTGAGTAATCACTGCAGGATTATTCATAATATAGTTATAAAATACGTATATTGTTCCCTGGTAGGGACACTAAAAACAAACAAACAAAAAAAAAACAAATGAGTATTTCCCCTTTAAAGATTTAAATTTCTTTTTGAAAGAATTTTTTTAGTTCTTGTTTTTTGCCCCCACTTAAAACTTTTTTAAAACTTTTCTTTTTGACATAATTTGCACTAGTCTTATGACTCTTCCATAACAAAGAATTTCTAAATACTCTTCACCCAGATCCTCCAGATCTTGTTTCTCATTTGCTTCACACACACTATTTTTCTGAACCATGTGTCTGTGGTTGACACATGTCCTCTTATTCCCAAATGTCTGTTACRTATTTCCTAACAACTAGAACATTCTCCTATCTACAATATAATTACCAAAATAGGGAAATCAAAACAGATTTAAAACTATCATCTAATCTGTAGACCCTCTTYGAATTTCACCCTTCTAAGACCCAGGTCATGTGTAGCATGTGGTCGCCCTGTTTTCTTGTGCCTCCTTTGGCATTTTTTGATTTGGGTCTCTCTAGTGTTTCCTGATGGTARAGTCAAGATTATACATTTTTTTACAGGAATATCAGAGATGTGTTCTTGTCAGCGTGTCATACCAGGAACATATGACACGGGCTCGTCTCATAGCTGGTGTTGTTCACTTTGATCACCTGGTTAACATGGTAACTGCCAAGTTCTCTCCACTATGAAGCTTATCTTTATGGGGAGATACTTTGACACTAGTAAATATCCTCTTATTTCTTAAAGGAAACTTTCAACCACTAGTTTTGGCATCGCTGATGATTCCTGTCTGAATCTGTTATTACAATGGTGACAGAAGGATAATTTTCTTATTCTTGGTATATTTGGGGTTTTTGTTTTGGTGCTGGGGAATGAACATCTCAGTGCTCTACCACTGAGCCACCTCCCCAGTCCTTTTATTTCTTGCTGAGGTTGGTCTTGAACTTGTGATCTTTAGCCTCCTGAATCACTGGGATTACAGGCATGTGTCAAGGTCCCTGACCTCCAAAATCTTGTAACGTGTCTGTACCTTGGTATTTACCTGGTTGCCTGTGCAGGCAGGAGCACTTCACACGTTCTCATTCAACCCTGAACACCCCTGGAACCTAGATGGCAGTCTTCTTCCCCTTTGCTGACAAAGCAATCAAGGCCCATTGAAGAGATTGAGCATCAGAGGTGGGATTCACGCCCAGCTGCGTCAGACCTCACCGCCTGTGTTTTCCCATCATAAAGTGAATGTGTTGTAAAGGTTGGCATGAGACGATGGATTTTTCAAAGTTGCTCAGTGGGTTTTCCTGTGTCTCTTCTAGGCCTGGAGAGAGACAAGTTTGACAACAAGACGGTCACCTTTGAGGAGCACATCAAGGAAGAGCACAACATGTGGCACTATCTGTGCTTCATCGTGCTGGTCAAGGTGAAGGACTCCACCGAGTACACTGGGCCCGAGAGCTACGTGGCAGAGATGATCAAGGTAAGCCAGCCACATGGGAGGCAGCCCGAGGGTGAGCTGTGCAGCAGTGGCTCATATAGCTGTTGACTGAGCCCTTCTCACCGTGGAGGCCGAGTGCTCTCCCAGAAGGTGGCTCTCAGCCCACATCCAGGGAGGAGACGCTGAGGCTCAGAGATGTCAGCACAGGACCTTTTCTGTGGGGCTAGGGCTGGGGCCTGGCCCAACTCTCCATCTCTGTTAAGGCGGCCCTCCTCTTGGTAGTGCCCCGCCCCTCCATAAGACCTGGCTTCCCCGAGACATCGTAAAAGCAAAACGCTCACTCGGTGCAGTGGGGCACAGTTGGCCAGTGTGGGCTCAGCGCTGTTCTTCAGCAGGCAGGGACACAGGCTGGTGTAATCTGCCTCCCCACTCGATCTTCTTGCTGATGGGACATGGGCCACTGCATCCCAGGAAGAGGGCAGGCTGCTGCAGGGCTTGAGAGCTCTCGCCCACAGAGCTCGGTGGTAGCACCAGATGCGTGCTGTGGGGGTCCCAGGCCAGCTGTGCTTTCAGTCCTGTGCTTTCCAAAGTCATTACAATGTGCAGGGGTGTGTGGTGACGTGAGGCGGCAGAGATGTGAAGTCAGGGATCTGTGCACTCGCTCTCTCAGTTGCGGGGGTGGGGGAGGGACTGGCGTCCCACTGCCTTCCTTCCTATCCCAAGGACTAGCGAACCACCCGGAACTGAGCTGCTCATGTACGATGTACTGTGAAGCTTGTCTTGTCACAATGTGGCATGCAGCTCGGGGGTTGTGAGCACCACTGGTGTGTGTGGTGCAGGCAGCAGTCACTTGGTAGTATGGCTGGAACCCCCAGGTTCTGGAGGGCTTTTTGGGGGTGTCCACAATGTAGGAGTCCTGTGCTGTCTGTACCCTTGAGGTCCTCAGGGTCCAGTTCCTTGTTTCGTATACATATGAATCACCTGTGATCTCACTAAAACTCCAGTTGTGACTAGGCAGTCAGTGCCAGGGCTTGGCCATTTCCATCCACCTCCCTGGGGGGCTCTGAAGCCCACAGAAGAGGCAGGACGGGTCCTGGTCCAGCCTGGATGGTGAAGGGAAGCATACCTCGTCATGTGCCTGCATCCAGCCTGCTTCCAAGTGCCTGGTTCTTTTACTTCCTGCGTCGTATTCAGTTATTAAGATGACCCTAAGTGGGCAGCGAGGAGCAGGAGAATTTGGGGTTGAGGAGAAATGGATGAGGGTTCACAGCAAAGATGACTTGAAAAAGAGGAGGAACCAAGAGAAGGAAGGGGAGAGAAACGTACGAGGACAAGGGTATGGTGTCTCCTTTTGCACATGAAAGCCCGGCAGTGGGTAGGTGACTTGAGTGTTAACTGCCCCAAAGGTCCTGAGCCAGGATTCAGAGAAGACACTTGAGGTCCGTGTTGTGGGAGGCAGCCGGAGGGTGTGTCGGGATGTTGGGACTGTGGAGGGGAGCTTGTGCCACCTCCATAGGAGACTTTCTCTGAGACGCCCTCAGGTGCTTTTTCCTCCTCTACTTGGTGACACTGGCAAATCAAACCATGTCCTCAGCCCAACACCAATCTGTGCACCTGCATGGAAAAGCCACTCTTGTCTYTCCTTACTCTGTCACCTTCTCTCTCAGTGTCTGAATGTGCCCCGTTTTAAAAATCTCTCTGGCGCTGGGTAGGGTGGTGCAGTTCAAGGCCAGACTCAGCAAGTTAGTGAGGCCCTAAACAACTTATCAAGACCCCATCTCTAAAGGGGCTGAGGTTGTGGCTCAGTGGTAGAGCACCCCAGGTTCAGTCCCTGCTACCGAAGGGGAAAAAAAAAAATCTCTCCAGGACCAGTACTGATGTTTTCTGTTAATCACCTTACTTTACGGTCACAGGAAACTCTCRTGCCCTTGTGGGCTTCTGTCTCAATTGTGCAGACTTAAATGAGTCTTGTGAGCAGTCACTTGATGAGGATTAAGAGCCAGGGTGACCCTGCCTGCCACCCGCCATCAGAGCCTTCTGCACGGGATGCTCTGAGGCTCCAGGTCTTGGGAGCACTGCTCTGCCAGCACCATTCTTTGATTGTATGAGACGTCCTGTCAGAAAGCCTCAGGATCYGTGGCATCAAAGAATTCTTATGTGTGAATGTCAAAGCTGCTGAGCAGCCAGGTGTTTTGTGCGCTAAGCGATGGCACAGTCAGTATTGGAACCACCAGCCGACAGGAAGTGCCGCTCAGGGCAGCACTGATTTCAGTGGTGTCTGATCTTGATGCCACATGAATCCAAAAGGGCATTAGACAAATGAAGGTAGGAACTAAGGTGCTCCGTTGAATTGTTTGGCAGGGTCGGGAGTCCTGGGGCCCTCAGAGCTGCAGTGGAGCAGGCTGCCTGCCCCCTGGTGGACCCGACTCAGTCACACCCTAAAGTCCCCAGGAGCCTCTCTCTGAGGAAGTGTGCCTGCTCTGCACTGGTCCTGGGAAGAAAAAAAAAAAAAATCAAGTGATCTATTCCTAGAGCCACCCTCAAGCCTGCCAGGAGTGCCTCCTGGATCAGAGAGAAGGGACAGCTCACCATCACTGAGGGCAGAGGAAAGAAAAGGGGGGGGTGCCACCCTTCTGCTGGCCTCGTGTCCCAAAACAAATCTTTGAGACAGGTCCTTTTGGAGTATGTGGCCCTCAGGAAAGCCACCCTTTGCCTAATGTGAGAGGCAGGGAAGTTCAGTTCTGCCAGAGGCCAGCCGCCAGGGCCTGGGGCAGTCACTGCGTGGGAGGTCCCAGTGCCCTCAGAACAGCCCCTTGCAGACAGTGGCATCAGGATTGGCAGATAGGTTTCATCCAGCTGGTAGAATCTGCCTAGAGTGCTGTGTTGAGATGAGTTCTGGGAAACCCAGGGTGGCTCTAGGGGCATAACTGATGACTAACCACGGATGGAAGGGGAGGAGAGGACGGCAGTGTCCTGAGCGTTGCCCCTCCAGCCTAGACCCAGGTCCCAAGGTGCACCTCCTCCTTTGCTCACTGTCTGGCTGTATCAAAACAGACAGGCTGGCCAGGTCACATGGGTCACCCTCASTAACTCCTAGTCAGGGGCAGGATTGCTGCTCGGTAGAGCTGGAAAGAGGRTATTTCATGCCATCCCTGCAGGGAGGGAAAGGAGGACCTGTGTCTTAGTTAAGAACTTTGTGGTAGCTACTCAGAAATTAACAGGAGATGGAATGTTGTCTTCTTCCCATCATCTCCTCTTGTGTTTGATTGAAGATGGGAATGTCCCTGACCAAACCAGGGCCAGACTGATGGACATGACCAACTTCTCCCTCCCCAGGGACTGGACTGGAGGCAGGAGGTCCAAGCTTTTTTTCAGTCCTGCTGGTCCTTAGCCATGCAAACTTGGGCCAGTCAGGGGACAGTACTGACCTGAGCTTCCCGTCTGTAAATCAAGGTTGATCTCTCCACATCTGTTGAGGGTGGCAGTGAGATGAACCATCAGAACCTGGTGGGTGGTGGGCACTCATGGAGGGAGGCCTCAGATCATGGAAGCAGAGGGCCGTGGGTGACAGAAGAGGTACCGGAAGCCTCGTTTCCTGTACTTCCAGGACTGTGTGAGACACCTTGATTAGCTGTTGCTCACAGAGATCAGAATGGGCATCTGTCTCTCAGAACCTGCTCCCATGAAAACCCATGTCTTCCTCTAACTGTCCCTGAACTGTGAGGCAGGGCATGGTTGCCAATGTCACTTTCCTCTTGGACCCCAAGAAGGATACCTTCGGATTCTGTCCTTGTGTCTGGTGGTCTCCTCATGCTTTCCCTGCTGGGCATCTGAGCTGCACTTGATTGGAGAAGTGGTCTCAGGTTCTTGGGGYGTGCTGTGAGGTGCCACCTGGTTCACTGGTAGACTTGTCCCTTGACTTAAGCACCTGATGGCAGGTGCTGCTGTGATTCCAAGGCCAGGCCGGCTCAGGCTCCTCCACTGTTTCTTACAGCACCACTCAGGAGGAGAGGGCCTGTGGAGTGACCTCACACAACCCTTGGCCGGCCAGAGAAAGAGAAGACTGCCAAGTTCCCTTTCCACAGGGGAAGGTGGATTTTGATGCTATTGTAGAGTTTGGGTGGTGCTTTATCTTAATAAATAAACGTTCATGATTATTTAGGTGACACACCCCCTTTTTCCTATTATTTTAGCACCTTTTGTGCCAGTAGAACAGAATTTGTGCTGGCCAATCTGCAGATGGTCATTGGGAAGGCCGTGCTATTGGATGAGAAATTCGTTATGAGCACTTTGCCCAAGAGWGTTGAAATTCTGCACAAATGGCAGTTTTATAGGAAAAAAGAACATGATTCCCAGGAAAGAGGGAGCAGTCCCTTATTCCTACTAAGTCAGATGCTGGAAGACTACCCACTTGGCTTTTAGAGGATAATTTAAAGAAAAGCAAACTGAGTGAAAAAGGAGACTTCTGTCGATTTCACTTCTTTATCTTGGGATTCCTCCCTCAGTAACACGTCTTATTCATGTTTCTGGGGGAATTGCATTAGAGACAGAGTATTGTTCCTTTGCTGGTATCTTGGGCTGCTGTGGCCACTGCTGTCCAGGAGGGCATGTTCAATCACCACGAATAAGGGCAGTAAGACCACTGGGGAGAAGCCACCACGCCATGAGTAGCTGGGAACCCTGCGGCTGCTGGGAGAGCCGGCTCTGCTTTGCTACTGCTAGGGYTGATTGGATAACAACAGATGATAGGGTTTTATTTTTGTATTTTGCTGCGCTGGGGACCAAGCACCTAGTACATCCTGGGATCTACCACTGCACAATGTCCCCAGCCCACTAACAGGTTATCTTTAATCTTCATGTGCAAAATAGATAATGTAAGATCTTGTGTAATCCTCCCCTTGATGTAGCAGGTGGCAGTACGGCCACTTTTCAGATGGGAACTTCAAGTTCCAGAAGGTTGGCTGGGCAGCTTCTTTCTCTAGGGCCACTCGGCTGGATCAGAGCTGGAGTCAGAACTCAAGTCCTGGGGTGTGCAGACCCAT